TTGTAATATCTATGTATGGTGCCAGGTGAGGACTAGACTTAACACTTGGTAAATTAAATATTCAATAAATGTCTAACCACTATGCTGTACACCTGAAATTAAAATAATATTGAATGTCAACTGTAATTGAATGAGTGAATAAATAAATACACACACAAACAAATTTTAAAAATTTATTCTCATTTGTTTTAGTGCTTCTCCCTCACCTTGGTCAGGCCTCAGCCTGAGGTTCAGAAACCAGCGTCAGGAGGGAGCCATTGGGTATTCTTGCCCTCTGCCTGCTTCATCTCCTGACCACCCACACCTTCTGGCTGCCCTAAAGCCTGGGGAAGGAGAGTTTACAGGAGAAGAAGGCCAATGACTTCCTTTACTTTTTCAATAAATGGTTTTGTTTGTAATACAGCAAGCCCTTGAATAAAGTCACTTTGTTATAATGTTGATGAGATGCTGTAGGAACTCAACTCTCATTTATATCAGTTTACCTATGCTAAAATTTGTTGCATTATATATTGATTCTCCACAGGTCCAAGAACCTATAGACGACTTAAGTAACGACTTACTATATACTCTCTTGGCTCTCAAATATCCTTTGTTATGGCAAGAATCCAACTGCTAGCTCTTGAGTAGGGTGTTTTATGGGTTCTTCAGAGAACCCTGTAGAAAATCTCTACAGTGTCCCTGATGTGGCATTTGGACTTTTTGTTTGACCTCCTAGAGTCCTTCTCAGCTCCTGCCCTAGTCATTCACATCTTGGAGCAGCATCCTGGAGCAATGTCACCCAGAAGGCCTTCCTCAGCATCCATTTAGGCAACGGAAAGCTCACCACCCTTGCCCAGGAAAAGGCAGAAGTGCAGGTGTTGCCACCATGCCCTACTCCAGCCCTCCCACTGCTGCAGGCTACTCCATTGGTGGTCAGGCACTCACCTCTTATGTTTTTCAAGAACTTTTTTGGGTACTGTCCTGGTGGCAGCAGGACTGGGCCAGGAGTTTCTGCAGCTCAGCAGGGGTGGGGTGGTGTATTTCAGATGGTGGTCTTCTCTTCTTGGAAAAACTCCCACTTTTGAGTGGTTGTCTTGAGGTCCATATCCACCCCATTCCTCACAGGGAAGGGTAGGGAACATCATAGTAGTTCCAACTGTTATGAATTCCCTTTTAGTAATCCTCCCTAGTGAATCTCTGTGCTTCTTTCATGCATACTCTTGGGTGTGAAGGCTGACCAGTTTGGCTACTTCTTAGCAGCATCATGGGGCATATATCACCCATGAGACTTGGCTCAGAGGCTGTATTCAAAATTCTGGGCAGTAGAATAGTCCATTCCACATTCTATAAATGTGAATGAGGTGGTAGAAAGAACGACTGGATTAAAAAATAATCCATCAGCTAGTAGAGTGGAAAGCGAACTCAGTTCCTTTCAGTTCCACATCGGAGGCCAGTGACTGCAAATGTTCTCCGGGCTCTTTGTTTCCTATTGTCCTCACCCTGGCCGCCAAGACACATCTGCTATCCACAAGCCCATTAATCCACCTGACTCCCTCCCATCCCAGAATGTGTCTAACTCACACTGGGGACTTTTTCCTGAGAGCTTGCGTCAGAGGCTCAAAAGGGTGATCAGTATTTTATTAAGAACCTTCTGGAATACCTTATCTGTGGATGGTGACGTTTTCAGATTCAAAGGGGAGTCTGTTGGAGAAGATAGCACTGAACATTCCAAATTCTAACTGCATCCAATTTGATGAGTCCCTGAGTTATTTTCTTACAGTGCCTTGCACACAAGAAAAGCTTTTGTCTTGAATTTTCGATTGATGTTCTTCTCTGTTTCTAGTACATATGACAACAGACCTCTCCATGTGTAACCACAATAAAGAAATGTTTTTAGTGTTAAAGTAATTTGCCATAAATAGATGAGAAAAGTCTGAGTTGAAGGTAAGATTTAATTATTTCTATTTTTATGTCTCATTATTTCCCCTACAAAGCTGCTAGATAAAAAGTGGTCATTTTAGATAAAAGGCATTTTTTTTTCTTCAGATTCTCTCTAAAAATGGCTTCTGGCCAGAATTCAAATTTCATTCCCCTTTGGAGAATGGCACACTGTTGGCCACTTGGGAATCAATCAACAGTTCCTGTTCCACCCCCATTTTAAAAAATGCCCTTTTGTCTCTTACAAGGAGAGTTAGGTAAACTGTCTATTTTCTTAAATCTTTGGTTTGTGTTTTCCCCCCAGAGGAAGGCATAATCACATGCTGCTGAAAAATATCAGCACCTGCAAACCTGGGATTAGGATGAGGGCTGGAAACCACCAGCAGGCACAGGTGAACCTCCTGGCAACAAAGGCCCTGTTTTAAACCTCAACAAAGGAAAAAAGGTCAAGATTTTTCTTTGTAGAGCTTTGGTTTTTCCTTCTGCTTTGGTGCTAGTTTTTACCATGGTCTAGTGGGTTGTCTTGACCGTGCGTCCCCACGGAGCAACAGGATGGGGCGGTGAAAGACGGCCATGGCCTCGAAACCCTGGGTTCAAGGTGGGACTGGCTAGTTACTTGCCATGGGCATGTTGCCTAAATTCTCTGAATATCTATTTCTTCGTTAGAAGAAAAATCTGTTCTCCCAACCTTAAAAAAGCTCAAATTGTGTTAAAGAAACCTATGTAAAGAAAAATATGTAAAAGTTCTGTGTAAACTCTTAAACCCTACCCAACTGTGTGACAGGGAACTGCACAGGGACGAGGTGTTAGGAAAGGAAGGGGAGCAGGTAACTGCTGCAGCCACCTGGGGGCTGAGCTCCTATTGCTGGTCACATGCTTGGCTTCCTGTGGTTCTGACAATAGAAGCAACCCCCTCACCCCGACCTACAGGCCCTGTAGGGTCTGGTTCCTTCCTAACTCACCAGCTTTGCCTTACACACTTTTTTCTCTCTAAAATTGCTATCCATCTCTTAGCTTTTAGGCAATTATCACATCCTTAGGGTACCCAGTCATGACTCCCTGACAAGGTTAAATTTTTCCTATTGTATGATCTTATAGAACCACGTTCTTTTCCAAACTTGTAAAGTTATGTCACAGTTACAATCACTTATAATATTTAAGTGATTTCACATTATTATTTGTCTTCCCTATTTGCCTATGTGAGGAACAGAGATAAATTTTTTCTTACTCTCTGTCCCTGCTTTCTAACACAATGCCTGGCATGGTAGGTGCTAAAAAGATATTTGTTAAATGCGTGACTAAATGTCAGATGAATGAATGATGAACTTGGTCCTTCTTGGATCCGAAAATAACCTGGATATATGAGCCTTACCCCAGATTGAAACTTGGGCCAAAGAGCTTTGAAACTTTATTGAGAAGGGGTAAATAATAAAATAAGCATTGGAACCAGAGAAACCCAGAATACAAATTTGATGCAAACCACCCTTTACACTCAGAAATTTATTTACCCAAGAGTCATGTGGATCTGTGTATGGCAATGGATATACACAAAAGATCAAACTTAAAAGGGAAAGGAGCTCTCTGGAAAAACCGTGACTCCTACCCCAGGCAAAAAGGTAAAAGCTGCCAAAGATGAAGTTGCATCTGGCAGAGTTGTTTTCTCAGAGAACAAAGAAAGGTTAATTTTCTAAGGAGGGACTTGGCCTGGACTATGCTGGCAAACTTGTTTATTCTTGTTTTAGGGTGTGTGCGTGTGCGTGTGTGTGCGTGTGTGTGTGTGTGTGTGTGTATTTTTGCTTGAGCAGCAGCTATCCAGCCAGGGCTCTGTCAGAGCTGTTTTATTGGGAAGCTAGACGCATCTAAGCACTAGCAATGGAGGACTCGGAGCTGACCTGGCAAGGGACAGCACCCAAGAAGGGAGGGAGGAGCTTCAGTTCTCCATGCAGCCCAGCAGGCATCCGAACTGGAAGAAGGGGACAGTGGGGAGCCATCGCTCTTAGTTTTTCTCTCCCTTTGTTTGTGGGATTGCTGACAGGGTTGATGGCCACTCTTTTCCATCCAATTAAGGGAGTGAGGGATAGAGGGTAGTGAGCGAGCAGGGTGGACAGTGCAGGGTGGTCTCTGCTGACAGACAGGTTCATGTGCAAGCACAAGGAGGGAAACCTGGGGTGGGGTAGTCAAGGCACCAGGCCTGACAGTGCAGGCTCAGGTGTGACAAGCAAAGGCAGGCACTAGGGTCATTGCTGGGAAAGGAACTTAATTTATAGCCACAGGCTGATTAGGTCTGCTGACATTTGGGTTGAAAGTTAAGGATTTATAACATGATTTTATTACAGTAAAAGACATTTATGAAGGCAGTTTTGGGGCATAGCCACCGTGGAATAGCAAATTGGTCTTGGTTTACCCAGGACTTTCCCAGTTTTCACACTAAAAGTGCCCAGTTCTGAGCAAACCAGGATGGCTGATCACCCGACCACACTCACACACCCTCTTTCTTACCTTCACACTGGGGAGGCAGAGCAGACCACTCATAGTCTTATAACAAAGCAGAAATAAGAGTCTGTCTTTGGGATGATAAGTATCTACAAAGCACCAAAGATATATTGTGAAACTCCCTACTAAATTGTTCTCCTAATGCTGAAAGTGGACACAAGGAAGGCTCCTGTCCTAATGTGCTACTTTAGGCCAATAATTCATTTTCATTTGCCAAGGCATATTCTTCTGCTTTTCTAGTTATATATACAATGACTATTCACACTAGATTTTTCTATGAAGGGTACAATTTTATCATATATTTTTCTTAGTAACAAAGAATCAAGTATATAATTAATGTTATGAGTTTAAAAGCATTTTATATAAATAAGTCCTAATCAGAGAAACACATTTGTTAGAAATTATGACTTGATTTTTCATTCTGAAATAAAGGACATTTTATTACAAAGATAGCCAAATCCTTAACAAACAAGGTAGTTACCACCACGACCAAAATGAGGCAAGCAAAATCCAGAGTGAAGAAGGGTAAGGAAGGGAAAGGATTCTACTGATATTCCTTTATTCCAGAGATTCCTTGGCAGACATTAGTCCTAGATGAACAGGTTCCTAGATCTTGGTGTTGGATGGAAGGAGCCATCAGACTCCTCTGCTGTAGCATGATATGGTGGGCTGTAGGACCAGCCACCTGGGGAAAGGGCACATCTCTTACCAGGCAGGTCGAACAGATGAGGAGTAACCCACCAAGAGCCAGGAAAATACCAGCGGCCCATCCCAAGTAGAGGGCATCTCCAAACTCCCACCGAGGTACAATCTCAGGGATAGTGTCATCCCAGAAGTCTTGGATTGTGGTGTAGGCCACCCAGGAGACTGGAAAGAGGGTAGTGGCTGAAGCTGATGCCTCCAAAGTCCCTCCTAGGATGCAAAGCCGCCTCTTAAATACCCATCTGATCTTGTGAAACTGGCAGCATTCTGACCCAAAGCCAGAGAGCAGAAGTCCCAGTAATCCCAGGCCATGGGAGGCCACCATGAGGATGCGGGATACCTGGAGTTCCTGGGGCAGAGATAAGAAGGACTCAAAGGACTGGCACACAGTGGCAACTTCCTCCTGATTCACGCAGACCTCCCAAAGGCCCATGATCCAGGTCTCCATTTCATTCAGATCCAGGCTGAGAGTCTTCCACTGAGGCAGGGCAGTGGTGACACAGGAGCAGACCCATCCCAGGAGAGAGAGGAGCAGTCCCCCAAGCTGGGCTTTCCCAAGGACACTCCAGGCCATGGTTGCTCCCACTGCAGAGGCAGAAAGAAAAGGAGGCTAGGTGTCTCAGTGACTGGTTAGCTGGAAGGACTTTTGGAAGGGATGAATGGAAGGACTTTCACATCTGGAGAGGGCTTCTGTTTCAGTTCCCCAGGCAGCAGCTGAAGCAGGTGCCAGGAGCTCTGCAATGTTTGAGTTTAGGGGCAGTGCCCAAGATCAGATGTGGGTGTGGATTCTAGGGGAGGGTCCCAGAGAGTGAGATATCAATATATATTTAACGAGAAAATTCATAAACTTCTGGTTAAAATTACTCTCCAGTTTTGAGATGACAAGTAGGAAGTTCTGGGAAGGTGCATTAATGTACGCTCTCTGGAGGGCAACATAGCTGCGTGTTCATACTGTCAAACACGTGCATGCTTTGACCCGTAGGCTACTTCCAGGAACTTACCCTAATTTACTGTGAAAATATGCAAATATTTATGAAATGTCCACCAAAGTATTGTTAATAATTGTACATTTTGTTTAATTCTGGGCAGCAATTTTAAAGTGATATAAAAGCGATTTTAATGACATAAAAAATGTTTTTGATATGTTGTTAACTGAGAAAAGCAGGTGACCAAACAGTATACACAATACAATTTCACTTTCATAAAAAGTGCATTTATATGCAGATTTGTGTGGATATCTAGATTTCTGTATATCATATACCACAAATGTTTTATATATCATATATACAAAATGTTAACCCTGGTTATTTTAGTGAAAGAATTATGGATAGTTTTTATTTCCTTATTTGTGCTTGTCTATTTTATACATTTATTATTCAGCATTTTTATAAGGAGAAAAATTAAAAAATTTCCCAATCCAAGGAACCTACCCAGACCCAGAAGGTACCGGAAGGGAAGTACTCCCTCCCTAGTCCCATGCTGCTGCTGGGACAGCACCTGCAAACAGGTGGCTGTCACACCAGCCTCCGTCCCTACTTGTTGCTGCCACCAAGAGGCAGGTTCTGACAGGACAAGAAGTATTTGGCATGTACTCTGTGTGGCTAAATGCCAGACTTTGGTTAGATACTTTATCCCTATTTACCATTATTGTAAGGTCCATGTTAGGTAAGTTGACAAGGTTCCCCAACAGATAAGCAACAGACCCAACTCCTGAGCCAGGTGGCTGGGACTGTGACATGAGGTCACCAGGCTGCAACAGTGATTTCTCCTGCACTGCACCTGCAAGCTGCTGACATCAGCATGCTGGTGAAGGGTAATCTTTATGGCAAAACACAGAAGAAAATGAGGATTTATTCTATTAAAGATATAAGTGTTGATCAATGTATTCCCCTAGTCAAATTTAACTTACCGATTACCCTGTGGTATAGTAGGAAGTGAAAACAGAGGAGTGGGACATTTAGCAAGGAGAAAGCAGAATTCTGATTTATTTGCATGATGTCTCAACACCTAAGCAGTCTGATGAGATTATCAGTGGTGGGAGCGTGGAGGGAGACAAGGAAAATTACCTGGAATGCTCTTTTTTTCATGTTTTATTATAGGAAAATTTCAAACATATACAAAAGTAGAGCAAATGAAATGAAGAAATATCATGTCCTATCACCCACTTCAGAAATTTTCCACTCATACCAATCTGGTTTCATCCATACTTGCTCCCATTCCCTGTCCCTCCCTTCATACTCTTTTGAAGCAAATGGGATGTTTGTCAAATCACTGGGTCCTTCTGCTGCTCTTAGAACAACCACAGGTTCTGATTAACACAATGGCAAAATGCACACCCTTGGAAACAGTCTCAGCTGATGCTATACACCCATCCAGATTTGTGTTTGATATTTTCTCCCGAAAACAGCCATGACTCATGTGTGGGAGCCATAATAAGTCAGGGGAAATCTTTTCAGATGTTGCTCCTTATTTCCTTGACTTTCCTTTATGAGCCCTTTCTTGATGATTCGTGAAGATCCGTGAGTTGGGAGACATATAAACCATGATAAGTATGAATTATGAAGGAGATCAGGTTAGTGAGGAAAAACAGAACCTATTCGTCTATTAATTTTTTAATTTATTCATATATCCATTCATACCTGCATGCATTGACCGTGTGTAGGAATCTCATTCCATTCCACATGCCCTTTCTTCCCTTGCCTTAGCCTAACTCTGGCTCTTCCCTGCCTTCTCCTGGAACCCTGAGGAATGGTCCTTAGTTTATCCAGTGGCCCAGGGAGAGGAGGAGCTTCTGTAGTTGTGTTTGCAGTTTCCAGTGGCTCTGTTTCCTAGAGGAAGATCCCAGAACCTCAACCTCATAGTGACACTTTCTTCCATTCTCAGATCAGATTCCCTCCTACTGTGAAACCTTCATGATTTAATCAGAGACTGGAGCTCCTCCTCCGCCCTTTGTACCTTTCTCAGTGGTGGATTAAGTTTCAAGGCTTGTTAGTTGCCTCGGTTCAGGGACCTTCCAAGCCCTGCACGTAATTTTGTACAATATTTGTTTTTTTATGTTCTCTTCCTTAAAGAGTCCTCCTCCTTCCAGCAACTGTATGAGACTTAGGTCCCACAAAATATGGATCCATCTCTCATCTACCTCCAAAATAGTAATGATTATATTTTCCTGGGATTATTTATTTACATGTTTTGGATTCCCAGCCTAGCACGATGTCTGCCATATAGTAGTTGCTCAACAAATATGTAATACATGTTTTCAGGAACTTTGTCTTCAGGTCCTTCTTTCTCACTGTGAGAAAGGAAAGTAAGGAGCAAGGAAAATTCCTGGGCAAGTGAAATAGGGAAACTGAGAGAAGAAAAATCAAACAAAGCCAAACAATTTAAGCAATTTACAGCCAGCTGGTGAATGGAAAGACCTTACCTCCCCTAACCAAGGACACTTGAAAGCAAATGTTTTATACCTCTCCTCCCTAACCAGAGAATACATGGCTTCATAAGCCATAAACCACAGGTGCCAGGGAAGAGAGGAATGCTACTGCAAATGGAGAAGTAACACCAGAACAAAGCGATCCATGGAGCTTGGGAATAGGAAGTGGCAGGACTCCTTTTCAGCTCCCCTTAATTCCTAGGGAAAGGGCACGTTTTTTGCTTCCCCTCGGAATTTCCCCTTCCAGATTCCCACGTTTCCCCTATATAGACTTGCTTAATTCAACGGGAAGGTGGATGTTAGAGTTTTTACCTGCCACGTTCTTAGATTGCTGGCCTCTGATATTAATAAAAGCACAATTATAATCCAATCCCTGTCTCTGCTTTTTGACTGAGCAGTGACAGGCAGCCTGAGTTTCAGACTTGGTTTCAACTGGGCATTTATTAGTAGTAGTATTTAGAATTCAAAGTGAGACTGTCGTGTCTGCCAAATAGAAGTTGATTTGGTTTTCTATGGAGAGCAGCTTCCTAGGATGTTATGCCTGTCCTTTGTGCTTCCTGTCTCAACCTCCATTTCATTTCCCTTGTTCATGTCACAGGAAGCTGCCCTTGCCTCACTAGAATAAGCAGATTGTCCCACAGACACTTAAAATTGACAAGGACCTTAGGATCAGCATCTACTTGGAGTCAACCCTCAAAGACAAATTAAAAAAATTAAAGATAACATTTTAACTAAAGCAGTACATAGTTTTTTTGCAGAAAAACAAAATTAGAATAAATTGGTATACATTCTTTACTTCTATATGTGTATTTATATTTGTTTTTTTAAAAAAGGAATCATACTGTACATACGTTGCGATCATTTTTCAGTATGTAACATTTAAATAATGAAGCAATTTTAAAAGCTTATTCTAGAATTCATTTATATTCTGATCAAAAGTGCTGAGTATCTTGTTCTAGTCCACACAATGCTGTTATTGGTACCTAGATAATACAAACATACAATGTGTTATGTAGATGTAATATATGTATAGTTGTATGTACAAGAATGTGGTCATGTATATATGTACATACGTAGATATAATATAACTATGCAGTATAAACAGCAAGTATCGGCAGACACTTATAAGGAGGTGACACCACTTCTTTGCACAACTCTAGAGGGCACTATTCATTTATACTTTCATAGTCAATGCGGGCCCATTAGAGAGAATATTGAATGAAAAAGTTCAAGATAGGCCTGTCAGATCTTCTTACCTAGATACATTTCATAGATACGCGTTTTAAAATTTAGAAAAGTTCAGTTAGGACTGGTGGGAAAAAATATCGTCAACAGCTACTGAAGAAAATGCGTTTCCCAAGTTTGCCCACTACGAGACGCCGTGGAGATTCCAAGCCCGTAGAGTGGCGGTGCCTGCTGGGAGTTGTAGTGCAGCTGTCGTTCTCTGTGTGGCGGTCTGGAGCCCGAGAGACTCCGTTTCCCGGCAGGCCGCGTTCGGAGGCAGCTGGCGGGACTGGAGCTGCCGCGCTGGCTCGGGGAGAGTAAACTAGTGTTCCTGGGTTCCTGTTGTAGTCATGGCTTCCTTCGTGACGGAAATTCTGGCACACTCGGGGAGTCTGGAGAAGGAGGATCTGGGAACTCGGATCAGCCATCTGACCCGGCGGGTGGAGGAAATCAAGGTGCAGTTGGGGCAGCCGTTGCCTGACTAAAATGGGATGCGGGATCCCTGTGAGACGGGAAGGGGCGGAGAGGACGCCGAGAGCTGACCGAGTGGGTCTGACCAAAGTCAGGTGTGAGCTGGGGAGGAAGAATAAGGGGCGGGAAGACTTGAAGTCTGTGGGTTGAGGAGGGAGCTCGGAGGGAAGCTCAGATCAGGGTTGGGGACCGAGGAGGCCTGGGACGGTGGAAAGGAAGGGGTGGTGGCTGGGGGAATGTTGGGGAGACCTGGCGTCGGGGGAGAGGAGAGAGACTGAGGAGACGCACAGAGCTGGGAGCTGGGATTGGAAGATGTCCAGGGAGGGAGCATTTGAGAGGGACAGGAATGAGGACAGGGCTCCTCCCCATCCGTAAGGGCTTGTTTCCTCCGCCCACTCTTCTTGTACAATTTGTAGATGAATATAATAGCTTTGGGAGGATTGTACCATCCTCCTTCCCGAAACTTCTCTTGTTAAAACCCATCAGTATGTTTATTAAACTCTCTTCTACATTTCCCAGGCCGTTGAGGCAGTGCCGAGTGTTGAAAACATGCGAATGGCACTTACATGGACCCTGTTTTGAGACTGATACAGAAACAAAAGGCACATAGCCACACACAATTCCTTGTGTATTGCTGTTACTATCTTGCCAGTATTTGCCCACATCTTTGTTCCTTTCGTATAAAATTAGGTGTACCGCATACGTCTGGATTTAAGGAAACAGGTTTGACATTGTACCATAAAGGCATGAAATGGTTTTATTTTACAAAAATAGTTTGCGAAATTTTAAGTATTCATGTCATTGGCATCTCTTTTTTAACGTGGCTTTAGAATTTTTCACCACTTTTATGTGATGGAGTGAGATCCAATTATTAATCTACTTTAGCGTGGCTCCTTTCCGTATGTTTGGGACCTGACTTACCCTTTCTCATGAGTTTCTTTTTCTAACTGGAATCTTCAGCCAGATGATAATTACTTTCTGTACTGCAAGCAGGTCCACTTTTTTTCCCCCTGGTTCTCAGATTTACATATGTTGCCATTTCTGCTTATATTACCTGTAGTATTTTTACCCATTTTTCAGGTTTCATCTTAAATGTTTCCTGCGTGAAAAATTTCCCCATTTTCTGTCAGGCAGAAGTGACGTCTTTTTCATTTCTCCTGGAGGACATTAATTCTCTTGTTCTATTACATTTCTGTATTCTGATTACTTAAGTGTATACTGTCTTCCCTACCTAAAAGGAACTTATTTCTGGGCAAGCATAATTTAATCTCGTATCTTCCAAAGCATTGACTAATTCAGTGAAAAGTATTCCATAACTTGTTTATTAAATTATTTTGAATTAAAGGAGATGAAACTCATCAATTTAGGGTTATAAAATTAGGCCTTCAATTTTATAAGCAAGAAAACAGAAATTCATACATTGAATGAGGCATACAGATTATGGATTTAATTTATCCACTTTTTTCTATTAGCTATATGCTTTAATTTGGTGGCTATAATCTGAGCTGATAATAGTTAAACATGAAAACATCTGGCTTTGCCTTTTTCTTTTCCAGCATTTGTATAACTCTTGGGCACTGTTGAGATTTGTTGATCATTGACTTTTTGCACCCTAATCATGTTATGGGGCCTTTAACAGTAGGAGAAATGTGTTTTTCAAGGAAACCCATTGCCTTGGAGGGAAAGTGAAAGGGTATGGTGACTGGCAAGAAGGCTCCAACATGGAAGACATGTGTTTTTAACTGAGCTCCCAACACATCTCTTTGGTATTATTCTGTCTTACAGGGTGAGGTGTGCAGTATGATCAGCAAGAAGTACAGTGAATTCCTGCCTAGCATGCAAAGTGCACAGGACCTGGTTGCCCAAGTGGATAAGCTATCTGATGATATTGATCTACTGAAATCCAGGATAGAGAGTGAGGTAAGAATAGTTTGTTATATTGAGTAGGTTTGTAGGGAGACCGTGAAGCTTTCTGATTCCTAGGATAATTCATTTCTGTACAACTTTTCAAGGCCTCATTTTTTTAATTGGTAAATGGAAGTTGAATTAGACGATTTTAGGGTGACTTTCAACCTTAAAATAGGACTCTTTTTCAAAAATATAATTAAGAAACTTTCTTTTTATGGTAACATTTTATTTTTTAGCTATAATAATAATGTCTTACATTTGACTATGACTATAAGTCTCAAGATTTTTTTGTCCTCATAATAAAATGAAAACATGAAACTTAGACTGGATCATTTGGCCTCTTGTTTTGTCACTTCTTAGTTTAAAATATTTGAATCTGATAATGGCCAGCATTCTCTTCTGTCTGCATCTGGCCTTAACAAATTCACACTTTCGTGCATTCTTTGTCTTTTAGCCCTATTCTGGAAAATTGGCTTGGTTTGCCAATGACAGACACTCTGCTTCCTGTATAAAGCCACTTTTTCTGGACACAGAGAATCCTTGCCCATTTTGTACCGTGTCACTTTGGAACTAGTGCTTGCTAAAGTTCTTTCAAAAGTCTGGCAGATTTTAAGAATGTTTACCGTGTTTGCCAGAGTTCTGAAATCACAATAAAAAGTAAGCCAGTCTGGAAACAAATGTCTGCTTTATAATTTTAAAAACATTTTTCACTTCTATTACCTCAGCAACATTTTTCCCTGCAGTTTCCTTTTAAGAAAAACAGGCAGTTGAAAGAAATCAAACCAACACCAGAGGTTTAAACAGTCCAATCTTAGGTATCTTCTACATCTATTTCTAAGTTATCACTTAGGGCCCATTGACCTTCAAAATCAGGATGCTGAGGTAACCTAAAAGGTCCTTAAGAAAAGACACCAACTCTTTTCTCTTTGATAGTCACCAAAGAAGGAAAGTGAATGGATGTGTTTTCAAAAGTTCTGTATAGAATTTGAATCACGAGTAGGGAAACCACTAGTTTACCTAGAAAAATCTATTTAATAGCCAGTTTACTACTCATTCTGATTGAAGGTTTTAATAAAAACAAATCTATTATTCTACGACTTTGGCACAGTTCAAGTAATATTTTCAGTATGAGTTTATATGATCAATAAGTTAATAGTGCAATCTTAGATAATTCTTTCAGAAGTAAAGTGTTTGCAACAAGAGATTAATGGGCTCTATACCTTTCACTGGCCAGATTATGGCTAGTGAAATTTACTCAGTTCTGTTTGTTGTATTTTGAAAAACAGCTGGTCTAGATGAGAAGATCCAGGCCTGAACTCCACACCATCTGAAGAACAGTGAAAGAAGCTAAGGGTGTTTAGCCTTAGTAAGAAACATTTTCAAGATTTGAAGCCCTGTTTCATGGGAGAGGGATTCAAATTTATGGCTAGAGGAGAAGAATTAGATTCAGTAAGTGGATATTGGGGTTTATTTAGTACTTGGTGTATTTATTTAACATCTACAAGGTTCCAGTGTGATAGTTGCAGAACTAGACATTTTTTTTAAATGTGAATCTTATACCTGCTATAGATAAGTAAAATATTGTGTGATGCATACTAAATAGGAATAATCCAGTTAGAGAGAAGGGATGTAGCTAAGGATGGTTTTCTCTAGGAAATAGAGTCTGAACCAAAACCTGAAGTGATAGATAATTAGACAAAACAGGAAGGCCGAGTGTTTTAGTTAGGCAGAGGGGACAGCATTGCAGAGGCGTGGAGGTAGTGGATAGCTGTCACTTTTAGAGAGCTGCAAGTATTCATCTGACCATGCTTAGGGAGTTCTGTGGGAAGGAACATGACATGAGATTAGAAAGGTAAGCAAGGACCTTGTGTGTCAGTTGGAGTAGTGTGGTTGTTGTCTTGATGGGACTATGGAAGCAATGGAGGATTTTAAGCAAGGAGTGACATCAGATTCGAATTTTAGGAATCCCATTTTGTTTGCAGTTTAAAGAAAGAATGTGAGGGAAATGAGAGTGGGAAATGAGAAAACAGTTAAAGTAATCAGGCAAGACCAGATGGTGACCTGCTCCAAAGTCAGTGGCAATGGGGGTAGAAAAGAATGGACGAATGTGGCAGACTCCGGCCAGCAGAATCTGCGTGTTGTGACTGAAGACGAAAACAAATGCATAGACTGCAGCAATCCTGTGGCGAAAAAGGGAAGGTATGGTACTCTCTTAAGATGAGAGCCCTGCTGCCACTTCTCTCAAGAGGAGAGTGCCCCAGCCCTTGCCTGGACAGGCTTTTATTGTTTTTCTCAGGTCTTACATCAGAGAAGGATTTATTATTTATTACATAGAATATCGTTGTCTACATTTTAGTTATAATCAAAGAAATTAAAATAACAAATGTAGAAGGGAAAGATGGTGAGCTGATTAGCTCTGTCCTTGGGAAAATTCACACAGGTTTTGGAAATAACCTTCAAGATAGACAATACACATCTGCTCTTTCAGACCAGGGTGATGGAGTTTTAGCAAGAGCAAGCCATAACAGTCCGTATGCATTTTCTAGGCCTGATTCCCACAGGAAAACCCGGTTTGAGGGTCTGGCTCCTGCCCACCACATCACTCCTGTAGGTTTTCCACAGAGAGCTGAGTCACATTTGCCTGATTTAAAACAAACCGGTTCTCTACAGATGAATCCTAGTGACATTGAAGAGATAGAATCTTCGGGACTTTTGATGTGGGGAGTGAAAGATGGGGAATCAAGGATAAGGGGGACTTGGTCATTGATGTGCCATTCAATGGAATAGAGAATCTAGAGAAGGAGTAGGTTTTTGTAGGGGAAATGAGTTTAAATATGGCTTACTTAAGGGATATGCAAATAAAGCTGCATAGTTGGGTTGTATTAAGATGGAGAGTAGACTGTTGGAGAGAGAGAGAGAAAATGTGAGGGAGCAGGAGTAAACAAACTTGAAATGCAATGGCTCAAACAAGAAATAATTTTTTAAAAGCTTTTACTTTTAGAGAGGGGAAGGGACGGAAAAAGAGAGGGAAACATTGATAAGAGAAACATCGATCTATTGCGTGCCCCCTGCCAGAGTCCTGGCCCACAACCCAGGCATCAAACCTGCCCTGACTGGGAATCAAACTGGTGATTTCGGTTCCTGGTAGGGTGCTCAAACCACTGAGCAACATCAGGGCAGATAAATTTTTTAAAAAATTACAGTAGTCTAAGCTAGCAGGCTGATTCTAAAACCTAGGGCCTAGCTACTTTAGTAGTGTGTGTCAAGAACTGTGAAGGGAATCTGAGGTTTTAACCTATTTCCAAGTGAGCAGGTTGGCCTGCTACTGTTTCTTGGATACTGTTAGAAGCCACGAGACTCCTTGGGTGTCAGATGAAGGACAGTTTATTATTCACAGCAGTAGCCAGAGTATGAGCATTTTTGCAGGATCCTGAGCCCCAGTTCCTGAAGGGTAATGCGTAGTGGATTACATTATAGAAGAGAACTGAGTTTAGGGAACCTGAATATCCTATAATGGGTAGTAAGCATGCCTGCTTTTTGTTTTGGAAGGAAACATCATCCCTCTTTTCCAAGTTGTTTACTTCACAAACATCCTTGAAAAGATAGTCTAGAACTAAAGACAGTTATTCCTTACATGCAAGTGTAGAAATGTCAGAGACCCTAACGACTTGTCTCTCAACAGTGTAGTGCAGCGGAATTGGCAGCTTCTGGTGGGTTGTTGGAAACAGAGGCTCTCAGGCCCATCCCAGATCTACTGAATCAGAATCTGCACTTTAATACGATTCACCAGGTGTTATGTATATACTTTACAGTTTGAGAAGCACTACTCTAGGATTTTGTTGTTTGTGTGATTGAAGTTGGTTTTTCCCTATGTGTAGATTATAGCTAGAGGTTAAAGGCAAAGAGAACACACAGAGGAGGCACATATATTTTCTTAAGATCCAGACTTGGAAATGGTGCTCATCACTCCTGCTTATATTCCACCGGTACCCTCTTAGACACCTGGTCACAGCCAGTTGTGAGCGATGCTAGAACATTTAGTCTAGTTGGGTAGCCATGTGCTGTAACTGTGGGAGGGTGGGAGTGAACAGCTTGCACAGCACCCCATCCATACACGTTTGGAAGTTAGGGAAATGATGTGGACTTGAGATAGCCCGGTACTGTTTCATGGATGCTGTTTGAAGCCATGAGACTCCTTGGGTGTGCGATGAAGGGTAGTTTATTATTCAGAATAGAAATTGAAGCCATAGCAATGGGTGAGATTGCCCAGAGAGAATGTATGGTGCAGGGTTTCTCAACCTAGGCACTGTTGATATTTGGGGCTGGGTAATTCTTTGTTGTGGGACCTATCCTGTACATTGTAAGATATTTAGCAGTATCCCTGCTCTATACTCACTAGATGCCAGAACTCCTTCAGTTTTGACAAGCCCAAATGTCTCCAGACATTGCCAAATGTCCTTGGATAGAGAGACGAAAAAAACAGTTTATTTTTTGAGAACCACTGGTTCAGAGTAAAAAGGCCAGGGAGAAAGGAATATCAATGTATATGAAGTAGCCACAGGGGAAATGAAGCTTGCAAAAGTCAGAAGGAAAGGCTAAAGGAAAGGAGGAAAATCAATAGAGAATGGTGTCATTGCACTAAAGGAAGAAAAGTAACAGTGTACTGATAAATAGTTAAAATTGATGATACGTACTTTGGATTTAGCAACAAAGAGTTGATTGGCACCAACTGTTTTAGAATAGTTTTGGTGTAATGGTGGGGATAGAAACCAGATCATTGTGGGTTATAGAGTGAATGAGAGGTGAGAAAATCAAAACAGTGAGTATGGATCACTCTTGTAAGAAACTTGCTTGTGACAAGGAAGAATGAAATAAGGTAGCTACTAAGCAATAGGATGGTTGCTAAGGTAGAGGAAATTTTTTCTTAAAGATGGGGGAAATTTTAACATACTTAAATCTGATGGGAGGAGCCATGTAATAATCGATATTACAAAATCCCTGAAAAGGTGAGACAGAATGGAAGGTGGATTCTGACTCATCATAAGAAAATCTTAATAGAGCTGTGCTGCCTGTGGAATGAGTCGGCACTGGGGATGCCCTTCTCGTAATCTAAGTGGATGGGCTCTCTGATGATTGATAACGGTTTAAACTAAGAATAGATGGTGACCCAAGGATATTATGGTGATAGGGATGGGCATTCCTGCAAGGATGAGGGTTTGGACTAAGTAGACCATTTAAGGTCCCTTCCTACTACATCCCAATCTTAACCCACATTTCAATTCCAACATGAGTTATATTCATCTAATAAAGCTTATTGATTAGCTATGAGTGTTTTATTTCTTTTTACAGTTTTTTTCAATTAATTAATTTTTAGAGAGAGGAAGGGAGGGAAAAAGTGAGGGAGAGAAACATCTGTGTGTAGTTGCCTCTCAAACACCCCCTACTGGGGACCCGGCCCACAACCCAGGCACATGCCCTGACTGGGAATCGAACCAGTGACTCTTTGGTTTGCAGGCCAGCATTTAATCCACTGAGCCACACCAGCCAGGACTAAGTGTTTTATTTTTTACATGTAGTATAGCTTAAAAGTATACTTGTCTTTGATGTGTAAATTAGGTCCGCCGGGATCTTCATGTATCAACTGCTGAATTTACAGACTTGAAGCAACAGTTGGAAAGAGACTCAGTAGTCCTAAGTCTGCTTAAACAGCTACAAGAGGTTAGTAACTTCAAACTTTAGTATTTTGGTGGTGAGAAAGGTTCTTTTTTCCCCTATTGGTCTCATTAAATGTGTATTCCTTGACTACATGGTATTTTTAATAATTTAAAAATAAGCATACAGACTTGAAATAATAGGATGTATAAAATAAAATACCTAGTAACTATGCTTATTTTTTCAGTTTTCTACAGCTATTGAAGAATATAATTGTGCATTAGCAGAGAAGAAGTATGTCACTGCTGCTCAACATCTAGAAGAGGTATTCAGTGCTTTCTCCAAAGCATGGACAATTAGTACTATGCTTGTTTTTAGTAAATTTTATCTCCCTTGTATTATCAGTATATAAATGTATTTTAATTGTCCCGAGTCCAGAAGGAATATTTAACAATGATTCCATTTCACTACCAGGCACAGAAATACTTGAAGTTATTAAAAGCCAGAAAATGCTTTGATTTAAAAATCTTGAAATCTCTTAGCATGGAGCTCACGATACAAAAACAGAACATACTTTATCACCTTGGCGAAGAGTGGCAGAAGCTGATCGTATGGAAGTTCCCACCATCAAAAGGTGCTGCTGACCTCAGGTGGACTGCTTTGCTTAATCTGCCTGAACCAATTGACCTCTGAATATATTCTAAACATTTTGTATTAAGGTTTCATTTGTTAACCTTGCAGGTCTATACTGAGTTCTCATATTAGGCAAAATGCTTGTTAGGACTGATTTATCTGGGTCTCTTAAGTGTCCTCACTGTACTGCCCTTACATCTGTCTTTCTGTTCCTTTCAGTAGGAAGGAGCAGAGAAGAGTGAAGATGATTGAGTGGGCGGGGTCTTGTGGTGAAGGGTATGATAAAAGAGATGGTAGCAATTTAAGACCATACAAAGTTTCCATTTGATAGTAGGATGATCTGTTCCAAGAGCCCTAATCCCAACAGTTTATCTTGGGTAGAAAGCTTAAAGAATCTGTTTAGATATTGTCTCTTTTGCTGAGGAAAGAAGACGGGGGATCAAAAAGATGGGTTTGGCTTAATTTTTCTCAGTCCTTGGGGTAAAATGGGAGCAATCATGAGGTGGGGGTGCTTTGCAAGATGAAGAAATAGGGTAACTCTGGCCCCGGCATTTATTTATACTACTTAGCTCTTGGTCTGCCTGCCACCCATGCCTGAACCCTCTTTGTTGTGTTGTTTGCACAGAATGAAACTCCTGAGAATATATGTAAAGGGTGTGCTGTTAAACCTGTTATATATAATTTCTAACACTGAATCTTAAAATTTAGTCTTTTTCAGGGGGAACCTCACAGTCTCTCCTTGTTCCCTTTTCAATGTCCACTTTGGCCTCCTCATACTCATACATTAGATATGTATGTGTGTACACACACACCAACACACATATTTGTTTTAGGTATTTGAAAGGAAATAATATGGAAAATTTTAAGTTCGACTTCTAAGCAGACTAAAATTATGAGAAAATGGCAGATATATTCTTTGTTATAATGCACCCTTCCTGTTATGTTTGTTTGGCAGGCTGTTCTCTTTACTCGGTAAGAAAGAACAAAAAAGAGGATGTCTTAAGTGAAACTAGGGTGTTTCATTTTTTGCCTTCATTCAGTGTTTCAGTACATATTTAATAAACATTTATTGTAGGCATGTCATCTTTTGCACTTAGTTTGAACATGATAAAAAAAGTAGTTTCTTGTTTTAAAGTGATATCAAGGACATAGTTAATATTTGATTGCATTGAAAGTGTATTATAATAAAACATATTTAGGAATATTAGTAGAGAATGGACTGTGAAGAATAGAAGTGGGAATATCTTATTTTGCTGAGACAGCTGATATTTTTTTTCTCTTTTTCTCAGATACCAGCAACTTGGAATCTTGCCTGCAAACAGAACTTCATTTATGCACTGGACAGTCTCACAGTGAAGAGAAGACTCCTGTGCCACCAACCAGTTCTGTCCTCTTGGCATTTTCTATTCTTGGAGAGCTACATACTAAACTTAAATTATTTGGTAAGGCACACTACGTTGTTTCATTTACTGGTGTTAAAGTAATGACAGTAAAAAAGTTATAGAATATCCTCTGGATAACATTGATGATGGATCATAGGGTTTGGCCTCATGATTCATCAAATGGAATTGTCATATATTAGTCTTTTTACTATGGGCTTAGATACTTTTATTTTCTTTTTAAACTAGCTGTTGCTGTTTATCTGACTTTTTGAATAATTAAAAAATTTGTAGATAATCTGGGAAACTTCCGTGGGAAAACCTGCAGTAAATAGTGTGTGGTATGTAATGTCATAATAATATGTATTTTTAAAATTAATTTTAGAGAAAGAGAAAGAGAAACATCAGTTTGTTTTTCCACTTATTTATGCTTTCTTTGGTTGATTCTTGAGTGTGTGCTGACCAGGGATTGAACCCACAAACCTTGGTGTATCAGGATGATGCTCCAACCAACATAGCTACCTGGCCAGGACATTTTATTTATATTATAAATAAGAAATGTTTTTATTTATTTTTGGTTAGATTCAAATATCTTGGCTTTTGATAGGTTTTATATAAAAGTTTCTTCTAGTGATTTTTGATGAGTGTTCATGTAATTTTTCAGGTCAAATGTTGCTGAAGTATATCCTTAGGCCTCTGGCATCTTGCCCTTCCCTTTATGCTGTGGTAGAAAGCCAGCCTAATATCATTATCATTCGTTTTGAGTCTATGATGACTGACATGGAACATCCGTCGCCATCTGAAGTTTTTGCCAAGGTCAAGCTGGTTCTGGAGGTGCTCCAGAAACATCTTCTAGGTGTGTATCTCCAAAATATAAAAGCAGTGCTCTTGTATTTTGGAAAAATCATTATGGTTTTTGAAAGTAAATATTACTTCAAACTAGATAAAAATGCTCCCGATCTGAATGTACAGAGGATCAAAGGTGAGTAGGTTATGTCACTGGAACAAAGTTACCTTCTTATTTCTTGGTCTACTTGGTATTCCTTCTCTGCCCTATATTGACAAGTAGGGTTGACAGTGGTACTCCAGATTCTGTATTTGTAACATTTAGTTGAATTCTAGGATGCCCTTCTCGCACGTAATTTCTAGTAAACATCACATTTTGGGACTCTTGCTTTTATTATAGGAGAAATAGAGATGAACTAAGTGCTGTTTTACATATTTCAGTGGGAAGGTACCTTAATTTGACATAACCTAGATTTAACATAGGAAGTGAATTACATCCAGCTCAGACCATTATTTAGATCTTTATATATTCACACTTGAAATAGCCAGTTTCTTTGTTGCTTAAATCATTTTTTGGTTGTCATACAATTAGAAATAAAGTTTCTCCTAGTGTTTTATTTCAGTTTTGGGTTTGTTTGTTTGACTTACCTTCTTTTTGCTTTTTTTAGTTGTATATTTAATAGTGAAATCACGTGTTCTCGTGTGGAGAAAATAAAAAAGAAATTTTGCTATTGTTCATATGCTTTCCTGGCAGTCATGTAGTTTATTTAGGGAATAAATGTGCAAGGAATGCTTTCTAATTTTGATAGTAGCAGAGAAGAAAAAAATCATAAGGCTTGTATAAATTACCAAAGTCCAGGGTAGTTTTTTTGTTGCTTCACTTGTCTGAGCCAAATCATAATACTGTGGGAGCATTTGTGCTCTCATTCTCAGTTCTGTGGTTCTTATAGCAGAGCCAGAGGCCATTATTTCACAGCCTTTGAGTATTTCACTACATTGAGCTTAATGTAGTGGAAATCCTGTGCCATACACAGTGCGAATTGCTGCTTTTCCATCTACCACTTACTTGTACTTGATGTTTTTGTAGTTAGCATTAATATTTGCTAAATTTTATTTGATACAATTTTGCAATGTATTTACTATTCTTCATTTGAGTGCATAATGATAACCATGCACTCTTTAAAAATAAAATCTTTTTAAAGATTTAATTTATTTTTAGAGAGAGGGGAAGGGAAGGGAAGGGGAGAGAGAAAGAGAGAGAAACAAAGAAAAAGATCAGTGTGTACTTTTCTCTCTCATGCCCCCAACTGGGAACCTGGCCCACAACCCAGGCATGTGCCCTGATCAGGAATCGAACTGGTGAACTTTCAGTTTGCAGGCCAGCACTCAATCCACTGAGCCACACCAGCCAGGGCAATAGCCATGTTTCCTTATAGTTCAATCTAAGTTGGTGATGATACTGTTGTATAGAATAGGGCCAGAGGGGACAGGTGTTTTGGGGAATTCCAGTAGAAACTGCTTTACAGTTTGACACCAGTTCATTAAATTAATTAGTACTCAGTCTCATTTTATTAGTAAGTTTTCTTAGTACCTAGGATATTCAGAAAAGCAGTGTTGCTAGACACTCTTCTAATATATCTTTATGCATTTTAGGCTTTAGTTTCCCCTTCTGGCTCAGAGAACATTGCCTTTGGCAAAGAAAAGGATGGCCAGGCACCTCGAGTTTAGGAATTCTGTGGTCCCTTTGATACTCATCAAGCATCATTCCCTTAATCTTCTTGCCCTAAATGTAATCTGGAGATATTTAGTCTCCTTAGTTCTTGTTGGAATACTCTTTCTTTGAATTTTAGCTGTTCTGAAATTTCATAAAGGCTTTTACCCATCCTTTTACATTTGAATATGTACTTTTTCTCTTTTATATTTTCCTTATTATTAAACTTTATTATACCATCAATAAAAGAGCTTTTAAAAGATGAGAATGCTTTAAAAAAAAAATTTAAAAGCCCTGGCTGGTGTAGCTCAGTGGATTGAGCGCGGGCCTGCGAACCAGACGATCGCGGTTCGATTCCCAGTCAGGGCACATACCGGGGTTGCAGGTCGGTCCCCTGCAGGCCAGTTCCCAGCAGGGGACGCATGAAAGGCAACCATACATTGATGTTTCTCTCCCTCTCTCCTTTTCCCCCTTCCCCTCTAAAGATAAATAAATAAAAAATCTTAAAAAACATTAAAAAAAAAAAGATGAGAATGAAAAAATCTCTTGGAAAGAATTTGGCAAATGTATAAAAAGCTGTAAAATGTTTGTATCTTTTAAACCAGGATTTCAGTTTCTAGCATTTGGCCCTAGAAGTCTGAAATACATAAAACCATTTATGTATGAGGATGTTCATTACAATGTTACTTACAATACTGAAATACTGGAAAGTAATGAAATCTTTAAGAGGGAAATGATTAGATTACTTAGTTATATAGTAGACCACTTTGCATAGTTATATTACACTTTATTCCTTTTTTTAAAGGTAAAGGTGATTTTTAAAACTAACTGCTTTTAAGAAGCCAGCAATAATCATTGTCTTAAAGGATTAAAAACTGTTTCCATTAATATCAGTTATGTCAATGATGTACACTATCGTAAATATGCTTTAACTTTGTTTTAGGTGTTATAGCTGGTGCAAAGAAGAGGAAATAAAATGAGTATAATATGAAAATAAAAAGAGATTATTTTACTTGTAAATGATACATACCTAGAAAATCAAAAGACTTCTAGAGCTTTTATAATTAAGAAATTTACTAAGTTATCTAGATACAATATAAATATAAAAATTGATAACCTTTCTCTAAACTAGTTGTGATCAGCTATAAAGTATAAAGATACTTATAATGACAAGAAAATCTATAAAATTCTTAAATGTTAGTAAGAAAGGAGAGTATATGTGAAAGGAAAACTAAAACTTACTTGAGGTCATAAAGAAAGACAATAAAAGGGAAGCTGTCTTGGAGTAGAAAAAACAGTTTCATAAAATTGTCAGTTCATTCCAAAATAACATATAAATTTAATACATTTCCAGTCAGATTCTGTTGCATATTTTTCAAACTGGAAAAATGACTCTAAAGCTTCCATCAAAAATATATTTGTGAGTATTAGTAATATTTGAAAAATATTAGTGGGTGGATTTTATAATTGAAACTATCATAATTTTAAGACTATCAGACACACCAGACCATAAGACACGCTTAGGTGTTAAAGGAGAAAAATAGGGAAAAAAATTTTTGAAGCAAAAAATGTGGTAAAATATTTAGTAGCCTGTGATCCCTCTTTACCACTGCACCCTACCCCACCAGGAGCCAGGTAAGCTATATTTGGACTATAAGATGCACCCCCGTTTCCTCCCAGATTTGGCGGGAGAAAGTGTGTCTTATACCCCCCAAAATATGGTATATATTTGGAACAAGAAGATTAGTGGAATGAAAAAGAGTCCAAAGTAGAGCCAAGAATAAATGAGAACTTAACGTTTGGTCAAAGTCACATTTCAGTTTAGGGGACAGACACTTTCTTTAATAATGGTACTAGAAAATTGGTTTATCTATATGGAATAAAACAAAGTGGATTCCTGCTTCACACTTCATACAGAAATAAATTCCAGATGAATTAAAGTTCTCTTTGCAAAAAATAAAATAATAAAAATGTTAGAAGAAAATTCAGAAGCCTTTAATAGTTTTAGGAAGTTCAGAATGCATAAAGGAAAGAACTGACAAATTTGCCTGTATGTAAATGTTAAATTCTGTTTGGTAAAGAGTACCATAAACAAAGTTAAATACAGTAGTGTACTGGGAGAAAATAATTGTAATACATTGGACAGACAAGGAATTAATATATAGATTAAAAAAATAAACCATAATAGAAAAATGGGCAAAAATATAAATAGGCAGTTCATAGAAGAAAAGGTGCAATTGGTTAATAAAAATATGTTGCTTAGCTTTGTTGGTAGGGCAGTGGAAATCATACTATCAAAGTAGAACTTTTCACCCTTAGAGTTGACAGAATTAAAAGATAGAGCTCTTCTGATCAGAAGTCAGACACTTCTGATGAGAAATTTGTAGAAAGGTAGTCTGCTTTTTGTGAGTTTGTTAGAGAGCAATCTGAAGCTATATAATGAAATTTAAAACGTACATTTCTTTTACCCAGGTATCCCACTTTCTCATTTGTTACAGAAGTGATACCAACAGTATATATGTTTGTATGTATGTGTAGTGTATACACTTGCACACTGGAATGTGCATTGTTTGAGGAATGGGTGTGTAATGTATGGTTGAGCCATTCTGTGGGATATTATGCAGCTATTAAAAAGAAATGAAGTAGAGCTAGATATACCATATTTTTTGAACTAGAAGATGCACCATGCCCCCCACCCCCCATTTTGGAGGAATAATGGTTGTTTATGCTGCTGTTGAGTTCTGTTTACATTTACACTGGTGAAATATTATTTATGTTATTAAATATTTTACCACATTGTTTGCTTCAAAATTTTTTTTCCTATTTTCCTCTAAAACCTAGGTGCATCTTATGGTCTGAAAATATGTTATTAAGGGGTCCATGATCTGGTGTTTTTTTTTTTAAGATTTTATTTATTTATCTTTAGAGGGGAAGGGAAGGAGAGAGGGAGAGAAATATCAATGTATGGTTGCCTCCTTATGCATCCCTGGCTGGGAACTGGCCTGCAACCCAGGCATGTGCCCTGACTGGTAATTGAACTGTGAACCTTTGGTTCGCAGGCCCACGCTCAATCCACTGAGCTACACCAGCCAGGGGCCACGATCTGTTTTTAAGTGATAAAAGTTAAGTATAAAATCTGTGACATGAGGCTGTTTTTATTGAGAAGAAAACAACCCCTTTTATGAGTAATGTATTAGTTTGTTAGAGAAGCCATACAAAATACCACAGGCTATGTGGGTTAAACAACAGAAATTTATTTTCTCACAGTTTTGGAAACTGGAAGTTCAAGACTAAAGTGTTGGCAAGTTTTGTTTCTCCTGGGCTCTCTACCCTTGCCTTGCAGAAAGTCTCACTGTGTCTACACGTGGTCTTTCCTCTGCTGCATATTGCTGGTGTCTTTTCCTTTCCTTATGAGGACACTAGTCATATTGGATTAGAGCCCCACCCTTAGGATCTTATCTAACCTTAATTACTTCTTTAAAGGTTAGGCCCTGTCTCCAAATGTAGTCATATTGAGGGTTAGGGCTTCAGTATATGAACTGGGGGTGGAACACAGGTTAGTCCGAATCAAATGTCTGTGTATGTGTGTGTGTACGTGCATTTGGCAAGTTGGTTTGTTTATTTTTTGGTATGAAACTGAGAGAGGAGAAATAATCAACCAATCTTAAAATCGGTCACTTGGGCAAGTAAAGAAGAGAGTAAATTTGGGTTTTTTCTTTAACAAACCTTAGTGGTGTTGGTTGGTCTTGTCACAACAAGCATGTGTTGCTTTTCCCATGATTTTCTAGAAAAAGATGAGAAGTACCCTAATGAAATTTTTAAAAACAGGCATAAACTTAACACAAAATATGATAATGGTAGCTTATTCATAGATAGAACACTATAGAATGATTTTACTTGTGACTTATAAATGCAAACATAAAAAATGTAAATTAAATCTAATAATACCTTTAAAAAAGACACAGTGACACTAAGGGTTTATTTTAGAAATGCAAAAATGATTCAGCATAAGAAAGCTATCAAACAGTTCATTATGCTAGCATGTTACGCCATTAGTTATGGAAAATTATGCCAGAGTGTAGTGCTCTTTACTAATAACAAACTGAGCAACAGAGGAATATAATACTTTTTAATAGTTTGATGAAATGTTTATGATATGATCTTAAGGGGGAAAAGGTACAGAATGGTTTATATAGTGTGTTCACACTTATGTATTATACAAACTGTTTCTTTGTTGGTATGTATGCATATATCCATTCAACAGATCTTTATAGAACAAGGCAGTGTACCAGCTGCTTGTGCCACTTGACTAAGATGGTAGCTGCATTCAGGGTCTATGATGTAGATTAGCATTGTCTAATAGAAATAAAATGCAAGGTACATAATGTAATTTAAAAATTTCTAGTGACCACATTAAAAAATGTTAAATGAAACAGGAGCTTATAATTTAATAATATATTTTATTTAGCCCAATATATCCAAAATATCATTTCAATATAAATCACTATAAAAATTACTGAGATATTTTACATTTTTAATAAACTTCCAAATTTGATATTTTATACTTATAAATAACTGATCTGTATTTAGATGTTATAAAATTTACAGTTGAAAAAGTACGTTCTATATCCAAGTTGTTCCAAACATACTGAAAATTTTTCAATAGCTGTATTGAGTACCAAAAGAATTATTTTCCTTTAATATTCTCACCTATATCAACAAAGTTGGCTCATCTTTTTAAAATGAATTAATATAACTTGGAAGCAAAAGCATATCAGCTTCAAAACTATGACCGAGTTAAGTAAATTCACTAACCCCTATCTATCAAATCACTACTATTAATATGGAATTCAAAATGGTTTTGCATACATTTTTAAAAACCTAAATTTATCAAATCAGCAAAACACCTTTAAATTCATTTTAAAAAAAATAAAACTTATTTCTTCAAATTTTTTTGGTATTTTTAGCAACCAATCTACAGTTAAAATCTTAGTATTTTGAATTTTGTTAGAAAAATTATATATTGATTTATATTATGAAAAGGTTTAATTTCAATATCAGTTCTTGTATCTGGGTAGCGAGGTTACAAATAAGCTTTTTCTTTCCATGGAACTTCACGTGCAGTATGATCTCAGAAAACATTACCATTTCTGATCATTGAATATTTGTTCAGCATTACTTTTGTTCCAAGAAAATCTTGAAGATAAGTATTACATTTCTGAATATAATAGAATATTCTTAATATAATTCTGTCAACATGTGTTGGAAAAAACTGCCACGTAAGGTATACTATTCAGAAGAGGTATTGAAGTATTCTGTTTGCTAGATATGCTATAAGGAAGGTGTTTATTGGTATATTACATAGGATAAACACTCAGTTCCTATGCACAGATGAAAAAAGTATGTTTCTTTATTATTAAAAAACTGAGATTTTATTCTAAAGTAGTTTCAACTTCATTTGCAGAACTGAGTTCCATTACATTACTGATTACATTACTTGTCATGTAATCAGATCAGTAGAGCAGCAGTAAATGATTATAATGTAGATGGTTAATACTTCATTGTTCCAGAGTATAGGCAGTAATACGGTGCAGACGGACAATTCATTTGAGCAGTGAAAGTAAAATCATAATTGTATGTCATGCTTTGTTCTCCATGCAGTCAGTTAAGATAGCTGTAGAATTATTTATGCCATTTTCTTCCCCATCATCTTACGATTAAAGAATTCTAGAAAACTAGGGAACTTGGTAATAATTTAGACTGTGAGAAGTTTCTTGTTTAAAACTTTTTCTTTTCAATTCAGATTCGCCTCTCGATACTGATCTAGAAAATGAAAAAACATCTAAGATCATACTGGCTGAGATGCTTGGTGACGTGATCTGGGAGGACTTGTCTGAGTGCCTCATTAAAAACTGTTTGGTTTATTCTATCCCAACAAATAGCAGCAAGTTACAGCAATATGAGGAGGTAAGAGAAGAGATATCACAGAGGTTTTAAGAGACCGTATGTTCTTAATGGTATCTTTTTTTTTTCTGAGACCTTTTGCTCTTTAGTAACATTTCTAAGAAAATTATTAATAAGGAATAGAAGCAAATTCCCCATCACTTTTTTCCTTCTGGCTTCCTACCATTTGACTGGGAAGTATCATATTTATACTAAGTATATTTTCTTTAGTAACAAGTTTTGAAAAACAGTTATCCTTTTATTTATACGTGTATTTTATTTATACGTGTATCAGCAATAATAGTTACTATGTAACACTTTTTTGTTTCTTTTTAGTGTTTCCTTGAACACTAAAATAAGTGTATTTATTTTTAAAGGTCTTTGTACCTTATCAAGTAGAATCAGAGATTTCTATTGAAGATCTTCTTTCTAATGAATGTAAGGCAGGAAAAATGTATAATAGTTTTGTACTTTGTAATTGCTGGTTTGTTCTAAAACTTAAATGACCTTTTGGTCCTTGTTTTTTTCTGTACACTGGATTTGATATTTTAATATTAAAATGGATGGTATGTATATCATTCTCTTTTTTTCTTGTTTTTCTCAGATTATACAATCCACTGAAGAATTTGAAAATGCCTTAAAGGAGATGAGGTTTTTAAAAGGAGATACTACTGATTTGCTGAAATATGCTCGTAATATCAATTCTCATTTTGCTAACAAGAAGTGTCAGGATGTGATTGTGGCAGCTAGAAACCTCATGACCTCTGAAATTCACAACACTGTGAAGGTATTGGAGTTGTAGTGCGTTACATTATGTTAAGGAAGCAACTCATTTTTTATATGAATTTGGTAGACCGGAAGAGAGCATTGCAATTGCTGAGCTCCCTGAGGGAGTTATTAATCTTCTGCATATTAGTTTTCTCACTGTTAGAGTGGTCCTAACATTTACCTCTTTCATGAGGTACTATCAGGTCCAGATAAGATAATGCACATGAAAACATTGTATAAATTGAAAAAGTCTACATAAATGTGAGGGATTACTATTGTTGAAATTAGATAAAATGTCAACCTATAGGTTTTTCTTGACTTTTTAACTTGAAGTTTTAGTACATAATTTTTCAACAGGTATAATTAAGTATTCTTTATGTCCAGAGATCATATCCTATTGTGAAAATGTTGATTTCATCTTTTAGGTTAATAGAGTCATTTTGAAGTTAAAATGATAAAACAGACAAAAAATATGTGATCTGTTTAGAGTGTAAACAAATTATCTGCAAAGTTAATGGGCTGATTAATTTGCACTGGGGGGAATTTACTCCATTGATCTTAGATAATTCTGTGTGTTTTCTTCTGTTCTTCTTTTCATCTCTACATATGTGAAATTTTTGGTAAATGTAAGGTATTATTAGGTTAAAGCAACACATAGACTAAGGTAACCTCTTACTAGAAAATTTCTCTGCTCTTTCTCTCTGTCACTGCTGGTCCCAGGCTCTTTGTCCCTCTGTCCCTTCTCTGCTTTCCTCCCATTTTTCTTGGGGTACCCTGGTGCTGTGTCCACTTCAGCACAATATGTAGTTGGTCAATTGAGGGCATATATATTAATGCCTTTTGAGGTAATTTTGGATTAAGGACTTGAACTACTTATTACCAGTAATTGTGCTGTGCGTTTTTTTTAAACATAAATATCCAGTGGCTTCCCATCTCAGAGAAAGACCCAGTAGGCTTATAATATCCTATAAGGCCTTATGCGATCGGTCGCCTCGTTGCCTCTCTAACTCTGCGTTCTGCTATATTCTTTTCTCATTGCTCTTCCCTGAATTTGCTGGGACCACTTGGTTCAGAGCCTTTGAACCTGTTATTCCCTGTACTTGGGACATTTTTACCACAAGCCCTACAACGTTCGCTCCCTTTCCTAACCAGTCTTTTTAAAATTGGGACCTCTCCCTATTTCCTGTACTCCTTCCTTGCTTTATTTTTCTTTGTATTGCTTGTCAATGAACATTCTCTAGGAATTATTATTTCTCCCTCTCTAGATAATAAGCTCCAGAAGGGTAGAGTTTGAGCCTTTTCTTTACTGTGTATCTCTAGCACTAAGAAAACCCCTGGTGCATACTACTATGTACTTAAGTGCTCAGTCGGTATTTGGTAAATTAATTAACGTATTAATTAATGTATTTGCCTGTGTCATAAGTCCTTGATAGGAGAATTGTTACTGTATTGCTCTGTGACTGAGCTAAATATTTTAACATTGTTGGACCTCATTTTTCTTTTCAGTAACATGACAGAATTGAATTAGAAAACTTTCGAACTCTCTATTCAAGTAATTCTGACATTCTTTACAACTACACTTTTTTTCTGAGTACCCAGATTCTAATAGTTATTTTCTTCTAGATCAGGGTTTCTCAACAGTGGCACTGTTGATATTTGGGGACAGATAATTCTTTGCTGTAGGGAGGTTGGTCTGTAGGAATTTTAGTAGCACCTGTAACCTCTACTCACAGACGCCAGTAGCACCTCTCCCAGTTGTGAAAACCAAAAATGTCTCCAGACACTGCCAGGTATTTCCTGGAGGGCAAAATTTGTTCTCAGTAGAGAACCTTTGCTCTAGATTCTAACCTGGTTCTTTCCCTTGGCGTTTATGCCCTGGAATTAGATCTTTGAAACTGCCAACTTTGAAAAGCTCGTCTTCCTTTTTTTCATAAATCATTTTAATTTCATTTACCTTTTATAGTCTTTATCTAATTTTTCTCTGAGACAATTCCCTATGTGTACCCAGTATTTTCACAAAAGATCTAAAGTTGTGTTTTGTTGTTGTTTTGTTTTTACATTTTAACTTGATAGGTATCATATTCTTACATTCTTGCGTCTTGGGCTTCTCTCACCCTCCTTGTGAAGTCATTTTGAGTCATGTGTATGCTGGGTCCACTAGTTTTCAGACAAACATTAGCACTTTCCTAAGCATCTATAGTTACATTTTTTCTTCTGCATTCTAATCTTAACTATAATTTTGACTGCTAGGTCCCTGACATTTATATTCCTATTTAAACTTGATAACATTTCTATGAAGTAGATAGTATGGCATTTTACAGATTAGGAAGGCAAGTCTGACGACTTAAACATTTCTATTAGACAACTTTTTCTATCAAATTTTCTATAGAGGTCCAGTGTGTGTAGAGCAGAGCCACACTTCTTGCAGTGGGTTTAGGGAACCTGCGGCTTCTACCTGTTTAATCTCTTCTTTTTTTGGCCCCTGAGGCATCTTTAAGGAGCAATGTTTGAAAACCATTATTGCAATACAATTTCTCTTCCTGGCATGATGAGAAAAATTGAGGTCCAGAGAGATTAAATGACTTTGTCAAAAGTTAGGGTAAAAAATATCAATGATGTTTTCGGACAGGCATCCAAGTATTCCTTCAGCCTTGACTAAGTCTGGAAAGTTTCACTGTGTGTAAATGTTAGTGAGGCTTGTTTTGCTTTGACTTGGAATTATTAAAGGAAGGATATGTTAGCCCGAATGAGTTATGTCTTTGCCTTGTACTAACACGTTTCTGGTGGGAAATAATTTGTTTAATTTTAAGAATGCAAAATTGTACTGGTTTACAAAAATTTAATAGCTTAGTCTGAGAAAGGTGATTTTGGAAGGCTCTTTCGTTTACCTGAAATTTTGGGCCTGTATCACAGCTTTGCTGTTTTCAACGAGATTAGCAGCACACAGAATTGGAGAATGGTAGTAAATAGTAAAGGGGATTGCTTATTTCTTGTGACATGCTCTCAACCCAAGATTAAGCAGTTATTAAAATACTGCCATATGTACTCAAGTCTTTTAAATACTCTGTAGAGCCACAGCTTTATTATCATTGTGGAAGCAACCAGTACCTTACTCCTCACTGTATGCTTGCATTTGAGTTACTCTGAGGATAGTGTGTTTTCTACATTTCTATGTTTGAATCTTAGATTACTCCTGATTCTAAGATTAGTGTGCCTGACTTACCTACCCCTGATGAGGATGACAAGCTACAAGTACAGAAAATGTCCACAACTCAGTACAATGAAGTGGTGAATTTACAGCCTGAAAATACATTGGACCAACATTCCTTTTCTTTGCCCACATGCCGTATCAGTGAATCTGTGAAGAAATTAATGGAACTTGCCTATCAGACTTTACTGGAGGCCACAACCAGCAGTGATCAATGGTAAGAGTTCTGAGTAGTGTGGAAATGGCAGTGACTTGGTTAAATGGGTATCTAAATAGCCATTTATTAAAAAAACTAGTTAGAATCTTTTGAGTTTTCTTATCCCCTTGGTTAATTTTTTTTTTCCTAAAACAACAGCACAGCACACATATATACTGGTAATTAACTTTTCTTGACAGAAATATACATCTTACAGCAAGGTATAAGAAATAGAAGCATGTATATGGATGGACTAAGGGATTTCTTAGATGTTAAAAATTATTAATTATTTTTAACAAAAAGCTCTTTAATTTTTGTTTATTGTTTGTATTGAATGATATTACATGAGAAAGCATTTGTAAGGAACTTAGAATGCTATTTGGAAAATGATTAATACATGTTTTTTATTGTTGGTGGTAGTGGTAATAGTAGTTGTATCATCTACTCCAGCTTACTGTAGCCCTTTATCTTAACATTTTTTTTTTACCTTTTGAAATATAGGCCTAATTAATTTATGTTTCTTCAAATTGATTTTAGAGAGAGAGGAAGGGGGAGAGAGAGAAAAAAACATCGATTTGTTGTTCTACTTACTTGTGCATTCATTGGTTGATTCTTATAATGTCCTGACTGGGGATGGAACCTGCAATATTGGTGTATTGGGGCAACGCACTAACCAACTGAGCTACGGGGCCAGGGCCTTAATTAACTTACATTTTAAGTGTTTATTTTCTGAAGTAGTAATAGTTTGTTGGGCTGCCGAAGTTAGAAAGTAGAGGATGGAATGTACCAAAGATCACCCCAAACTCTATTCCACAGAATCTCTTCTTGTAAACAAACTCCTTCCTACTCTTGTACTAAATTGAAGAGGAAATGGCAGGCTATAGCCCAAGTTGATTGAGGAACAGATTTACAAAAGCCTCTTTAGTTTGTATCTGTGTGTAGCAGTTTTTTACTTCTCATTGTAAGAGTCAAAACACTTTGAGCTAGGGCTGGGCTTAATCAAATTGCATCTTAAGATGGGCTTTCAGAGTTTCAGTTTTTACCTCAACATGTAAACAACCTCTTAATTTTATTCTGCTCTAGAAAGATACCAAGAATGTTTACCAAGATAATTCTATGACTTGAATGAATCATTATATTCACAAGTTTACCCAGTTTTAATATAAGTAGGAAGAAAAATACATGTAAAGGAAGTATATACTGCTTTGGCAAAATACATATAGGACTGACTATGTCTTCACATGGCATTCACCTGAAATATACCAGATAAGAAGTTAGGTATGCAGGACAATATTTTCTAAACTATTTGAGAATACAGAATACCCAATGATATTTTTGTATAATGAATATCTGTGGGCAATCATTCGCTAAAAGAAATAGTTTGTAACAGGACAAACAAAAATACAACTATTCTGCAGTAACCCACTTCTCTATTATTAAACCTCAAAGAACAATATATGCAGCAGAAATACAACGATATAAACAGTTATTACAGTAATCAAGCAGTAACAGTGTGTTGGGGTATAATAACTATAACTTACTTTCCTAAATGTTTGTGAAATTCCCGTACATAGTTTAAGATACTCTTATGTAGAAGTAAGTATACAAACCTTATATTAGCTCTTTCTAAGTGCATTTTAATAATAATCTTTAGGTATTTTAAGGCCAGATATAAAGGGTAAAAAGCTTGAGGTTAAATTCTATTCTAGAAATGTTGACTCCTCTCCTTGCATTGAGGTAAGAAGGAGAAAAGGTGAAAGCTGAAAGTCAGACTGATTCTAAAAGAACCAAGTGAATGCCTTTATTGATATCTTGCCCTTTGCAGAGTGCGGCAGTGAGTAGGTAACATTTACTTGAGGCTTAGCTCCATTTGTTACTGAAAGGATACTCTGGGTACTGGCAGAAAACAAGGCTTTGGGTTGAATGCTGCTATTCTTAAAATTATTCAGGGGTCTAGGTTTCTAGGACTGCAGTCTAGTTAGTAAATACTGGTTGAGAATATATAGGGTCAGGCAGAAGTAACGCTTGCTCGAGTGTGGTTAGTAAGGTATTAATTATAGGTATAATAATTTATAGTTTTAATTTGAATGTTTCACCTAAAATGTCATATGGTGTGCTTGAATTTGGTGACTGTGGTGATATTGTTGTGTTACAGAATTACATGTTTATGAGTTTGTAATAAAAGGTTTTGTAATAAAGAAGGAGGTGTTATTTTTGCCGGACCCTGTATTTCCATCTACATTAATGGTGTTTTCAGCAGCGGTCAAGGCAGGTATTCTCTCAAATTACAGTTTTGGCTGATGACTCTCACTTAAGGTGCACTTAGTTTGAATTTTTTTCTCATTTCCAGTATATCCTTATGCATTTCTATTGAAACTCTTTTCTTTTTAGTGCTGTTCAACTTTTCTACTCAGTAAGAAATATCTTCCATTTGTTCCATGATGTTGTACCAACATATCATAAGTAAGTGCCACTATATATTATTTCTGTAGAATGTTGTATTTCTAAAATGTTTGTAAGTCATGTTAAAACCAATAATCTTTATACTCCCACCAAAGATATTTTGGTTACTAAAATTTTTACAGTGAAATGCAGTAAACCATTTAAAATACATGTTTAAAGGACACAGGTCATTTATTGATAAGTTAATAAGGGTACTATAATGTTACAATATAATGGGTGATAGAAATGTAAAAACTCAAAAGAACTTGACCCTGTTTTTTATGGTAGATGTTTTCAGATCTACCTCACTTTATTTGGCTACAAAACAAAGAGACCATCACTCCATATAGCTATCTAGTAAGCATATTAGATTTTTTTCTTGGCTTTGTAGACTTTCTTCCACAAGGGATTGCCAATGAACAGTCAAATATGATCAGCCACTCTTCCTAGCTATCTTAGGGAGTATATACTTAATGTCTTGGATTTTTAAAAGTTTCTTTTAATATGAATCTCAAAAGTTACTCATAGCTTTAAGCCTCCAAGAACTCTTTCTGTTATATACATTAAGTGTTTTGCATGTCTTATAAATGTTTTAAATGTTATGTCAGCAAAGCTATTCTTCCTGGAGGATTTTGGTTTTAAAGAAACTAGTTGATTATTCGTGATATTTTTACTTCAGATTTTCCACATTTGAGATGTTTTTAAGCAGGCACATCAGGTTTTTTGTTTTTTTTCTTTTTAAATAAAAGAAAGCTTGCCCTGGCTGGTGTGGCTCAGTGGATTGAGTACTGGCCTGCAAACCAAAAGGTTGCTGGTTGCATTCCCAGCCAGGGCACATGCCTGGGTTGCAGGCCAGGTCCCCAGTAGGGGTGTGCGAGAGGCAACCACACATGGATGTTTCTTACCCTCCCATCTCCTTTCCCTTCTCTAAAAATAAATAAATAAAATATTTTTTAAAAAGTAAAATAAATAAAGGAAAGCTTATTTATTATGAACCTTATTTTTATTTATATTTTCTTGGCTGTGCTTTAAAATTTTTTATTTACTTTCTACTTAGTCAAGTAAAGGAAAAGGGGAAACATCTTTGGGTCAGCTAATAGCCACATTCTTAGACATGTTCGCTTAGAAGTTCTATGATTAGAAATTTTTCACAGTGGTATGAATTTAGATTGATTTTTGTATGATATTGGAACTTTGTGCTGGACCAGTGGTTTACAAACTTGAGTATGCATCATAATTAGCAGGAAGCATTGTTAAAATACAGATTGCTAGATCCCGTGCCCAAGATTTCTTGGATGCAGTAGGACTGAAATAAAGTCTGGAATTTTAAACATTTCCAGGTGATGCTGATGTTGCTTGTCAGGGGACCACACTGTGAAAACCACTGGTTTAGACTAGAGTTCTCAGCTTTGCCAGTATTTTAGAATCGCTTATGAAGCTTTAAGAAGATATATATTTGCCTAGATCCTACCTCTAGCAATTTTGATTTATAGGTCTGGTTTAAGATACACACCTCTGTGGTTTTTTAAAGCCTTATAAATTGTTCTGATGTATAGCTGAAAATGAGGACAACTGTCTTAAGATTATTAGTTTCTGACATTGTATATTTAGCCTAACATTAATTAAATCAGCAGACTAGGAAGTATTAGTTGAAGGACTGCTTAGAAGATATACAGCAGAAACATAAGATCTCTTCTCTAGTTGAGTAGGAGACCAAAATGTGTAGAAGATTTAGAAGGGTGATTTTCGATACTATATGGGAAGTAAAATTACCTGGGAAGATTTAAAATATGAATGCCCTGGCTTCACTCAGAGGTTGTGATTTAATTTGTATGGGGTGAAGTCTAAACATGTATCTATTTCTTTAAGTATATTTTATTGATTATGCTATCACCGTTTTCCCAGTTTTTTTCCTCTCCTCTATCCCCCCTCCGCCTTGCACCCCACGCCCTCCAACATTCCCCTCCTTAGTTCATGGGCTGTACATACATAGTTCTTTGACTTGTCTGTTTCCTACACTGTTCTTAACTCCCCCCTGTCTATTTTATGCCTGCCAGTTATGCTTCTTAGTCCCTATACCTCCCCCGTCATTCTTCCCCTTCACGTCCCCACTGAAAATCCTTCATATGTGCTCTCCATTTCTTTGGTTCTGTTCTCGTTCTAGTTGTTTGCTTAGTTTTTGTTTTTGTTTTTTGGGTTTGGTTGTTGATAGTTGTGAGTTTGTTCTCATTTTACTGTTCATAGTTTTTTATCTTCTTCTGTTTCTTAGATAAGCCCATTTAACATTTCATATAATAAGAGCTCGATGATGATGAACTCCTTTAACTTGACCTTATCTGGGAAGCACTTGATCTGCCCTTCCATTCTAAATGAAAGCTTTGCTGGATAGAGTAATCTTGGATGTAGATCCTTGCCTTTCATGACTTCAAATACTTCCTGGAAGTTTATTTCCTTCTCCAGATTAGGAAAGTTTTCCTTCATTATTTGTTCAAATAATTTCTTGCTGTTCTTCTGGCACCCCTATGATTTGGATGTTGGAGCACTTAAAATTGTTCCAGAGGTTCCTAAGCCTCTCCTCATTTTTTTGAATTCTTGTTTCTTCATTCCATTCTGGTTGGATATTTATTTCTTCCTTTTGTTCCAAATCATTGATTTGAGTTCGGGTTTCCTTCCTTTCACTGTTGGTTCCCTATATATCTTGTTTTATTTCATTTTGGGTAGCCATCATTTTTTCCTTCATTTAGTGACTAAACCACTTCTGGGAGCATCCTGATTACCAGTGTTTTGAACTCTGCATCAGATAGGTTGTCTATCTCATCATTGCTTAGCTCTTTTTCTGGAGTTTTGATCTGTTCTTTCATTTGGGCCATATTTCTGTCTCCTCATACCTGTTAAGTTGTTAGGGGATGAAACCTTAGACATTCACCAGGGAGGGGCAGTGTTCTTGCCTGCATTGTGCCACTGTTTGTGGGGAAGGGGTCAGAGAGTAAACAATGCTGCTCTCTTGTTTCGTTCTAGCCCCACTGTCCAACGAACTCTCCAGTGAGATGGGTTTCTCCTGCCTTGCAGCACCCCTGCAGTATTTTACAGCTAGTTTTGAGTCTTTAGTTTCCCATTCAGCCAACCCTGCCTTCTTGCCTCCATGGTCCACTGCCTTGTCCTCTGCATCCTGCTGCCTGTCTCCTGTCCCCACCTCTCCTACAAGCCTGAATGAATGTTTGACTCCTTGATTGCTGGAGTTCCATGCAGTTTCATTTTCTTGGCAGCTCTGGTTGTTTATTATTTTTAAGTTGGTTGTTATCCTTTTGGTTGTAGGGGGAAGTGAAGTGTTTCTACCCATGCCCCCATCCTGGCCAGAAACGTAAACATGTATCTATTTAAAAATTCCAGCATACTCTAATCTGTACCCAGCTTTGAAAACTAGTGGATTGAAAAATAGTTAAATGCTTCATTATATAAATGAAATAGGATTTTGGAGAATGGGAAAGTATCTGTATTTCTACAGACTAATCAGAGATAAATTTCAAGGGGTTTATTATGTGTAACTATGCTGGGTTTCTAAGACAAAGAGTTGATACAGGTAAACATCTTAATTCCCTTACTCTTTCTTGTCACTCACTGGGACGGTTTTATAGGATAAGGTTACATTCAGGCAGAACAACTTCTCTCTGATTGAATGTGAGTGAGAGTGATTCAGAGTATATCTTGTTATGTCCAGCATTTATACAATAGATAAAAATTAAAGCCTAGAAATAATTATAAGAGTAGTTACTTGAACAACTGTTACCTCAGTAACAGGTGATTTCTTTGTTCTTTCTACCCCTTTTCCTGTACTAGGGAGAACCTTCAAAAACTACCCCAGTTGGCTGCCATTCACCACAACAACTGTATGTATATTGCTCATCACTTGCTGACCCTTGGGCATCAGTTCAGATTACGCCTCGCCCCCATTCTTTGTGATGGCACTACTACTTTTGTGGATCTTGTACCTGGCTTCAGGAGACTTGGTAACTGATATCTTAAATTTAGTAAAGCATATTGATTATGCAGCATCTCAGCCTGGTATCTTTGTAATTTGTGAGGCATTTAGAAATTAGATGGTGGTCCTGAGCTATGTTAGAAAATAGGAGGGCATTTAATTTGCAAGTGTTCCAGTTTTTTAATTTTATAAAGTGAATGCAGTCTTTGCGGAAGCATTACTTTTTTGTGACATGATTTCATGGTACATTAGAGTTCCAAACTCCAAACTGCTGGTGTTCAGTGAATTCACCAAATCAGAGTTATGTCAATAGAATGACGAATGATAAGATTTGTATTGTTACAGTTCTATTTGCATTGTTGGTAAGAGCTCACTAATGTCAGTGCTTGTTATTTTGAAAAACCTTAAGACAGTCCCATTTTCTTCCACCTACCTCCCTTAGCTTTATTGGGGTTGAAAATCAGAAGAAATGAAATGTAGAGTAAATCAGTATGTTTACTATAATGATAGCCTAAGAAAAGCAGAGACTCTATATAACTCACTTAGCTTTTCACCTGATTTTTCTTAGGTAATATAGATCTTTCAGAAAAATAAGTAGCTGCTTTTTCTGTATAAGTAATTTTTTTGTTTCTGAGCCTAGACAAACTATTTCGAAAGACTTACTATCCTGAGGGTGGGTTTGGAGGATTTAGGTAATGTGTTAGAAGTGATTGCTTTTAGTAACCTTAGGGTAGCTTTATGATGTTATCTAGCAAACAAGTGTCTTTAAGCAGAACAGATACATGGTACATGTTTCTGTCCTCTTCCTCCCTAGTTTTGCAGTGTGTAATTGAACAACTTTTAGAACTCTTTATTCTCATTTTTCATCATAGGAACACAGTGTTTTTTGGCCCAAATGCGGGCACAGAAAGGAGAACTTCTGGAAAGATTATCCAGTGCTAGGAACTTTTCGAACATGGATGATGAAGAGAACTATTCTGCAGCAAGTAAAGCAATCCGTCAGGTGGGATTCTTTTGTTAGCTCTGGAATTTGTACTTTATCTTTAGTTATTCCCTCCTTATTTTTTAAATAGCAAAGAACCTGTACCAGGTAACTCAGTTAATTTCACACAACCCCCCACTGGAAAATCTGGATACTTGTTAGCGTCATATTTACCCATCTTTCCCTTCCATTGCTCCACCAAGCCAATAGGAAGCTACCTTTCCATCACCTCAGTAATGTGACAAGTCATTGAGTCTGTCATAGCAAATATTTAACCTGTGAACTTGGGTTAGGGAAATTGGAAATATTACCTTTCATCTTAATGCTTCTCTTTCCTACATGATTTATTTTTTTTAGTGCAGTGTTTCATATAGTATGCATATCACTAAGGTTTAATATTCAAGAAACACATTTTCTATATCGTTTTACATCACCTTTATATAATTATTCCATAAACACACAAATGATGAATATAAATCTGGAAAGAAGTTGCAACAATTTCTGTTCTGTGTAAATGGCTGTGTTCTTCTGACAGGTACTGCATCAGCTGAAGAGACTTGGACTGGTGTGGCAGGATATCCTGCCAGTGAATATATATTGCAAAGCTATGGGGACTTTACTCAATACAGCAATTTCTGAGATTATTGTCAGAGTCACTGCCCTAGAGGTAAGAGTCATTAGATGCCTCACCAGACTTGACACACAATCCTTGTCCCAGATTGTCACTTTACTAAGAAAGTTGTTGAGGTCTCAGTTTTACCCAGTATGAGGTAAGAGAAGTTGTTCATGTTTTGTGTATAACTTATTATACTGTCATTGGTTTTCAGTTTTGTCTTAATTCTGTTTTGCTCTAGAGATTTGGTAATCTCTATCTTTTATATCTATGTAAGAAAGTATGATTATACTGCTTCTCCAACTAGCATTATGAGTGAGGAGGTGGGAAACTTGGGTAGTCCTGAGACGGATTGTAAAATATGAAGTCATATAGTTATTTAATTTGCAAGTGAATTAAATAATTTAGTAAAGTGAAATGCAGCCTTGTGCGGGATTATGTGTGTGATCCATCTCATTCCTCTAAAGGAGAGATTGGCTAAACCCTTATTTGTAATAACATCCCTTGCTTTGCAGCAAACTTTGCTGCATTTTACTGGAGAAATAAATGGGCTCTTTCATGTAGGCAAACTAAATTACTAGCAGTCTGTTGAAAATATTGTGTGTCGTTCTAGCTTCGGGAGTATTATCAGAGACTTGATGAAATCTAGTGTCTAATAAGATGTGTTAAATTGATTGGAAGACATCTTGCTGTAGTTGACTGCCTGGACAACATGCACCAAAGATCTGCCCTTTCCTTCCTACTACACTGACTCAATTCTATTCTCTTGTGTTCCATTTGTGCAAAACCAGGACATCTCTACTGAAGATGGTGATAGATTATATTCCTTATGTAAAACAGTGATGGATGAAGGACCCCAAGTATTTGCACCTCTGTCTGAAGAAAGCAAGAACAGGAAGTATCAAGAAGAAGTTCCAGTCTATGTGCCAAAATGGATGCCATTCAAAGAACTGATGATGATGTTACAGGCCAGCCTGCAGGAAATTGGGGACCGGTGGGTAGAGGCATATATTTTTTCACAGATACAAAGAGTATTAGTGTCATTAATAGCAGTGCTTTGCTCCTTTCTTTCTCTCTCTCCCTTCCCCCATCCTTCCCTCCCCCCATCCTTCCCTTTTTTCTCTCTCCCTCTCCCTCTCCCCCTCTCTCTCCCCTCTCCTCTCTCTCCCTCCCTCCTCCTTTCTCCTTTCCTTTCCTTTTCTTTCCTTTTCCTTCCCCTTCCTTCCTTATTTGCCTGGGAAGATTATTTTTTTTATTTTTCAATTACAGTTGACATACAGTATTATATTAGTTTTGGGTGTACAACATAGTGATTAGACATTTGTATAATTTACAAAGTGATCTTCCTGATTAAGTCTACTACCCATCTGTTACCATGTGTAGTTACTATAATATTTTCTCTATTTCTTAATGTACCCAAAAAAGAGTGTCATATTGAGTAGCAGTAGTTGGGGCCTTTGTAAGTTGTCTAGCATTGTGTGCATAGACAGTCATGAAATAAGACTTCTTGTTTCATATGATTGTGGCCTTGAGCATGTTGCTTTGGGATCTTGGATTTGTAGGAAGTACACCTTCTGACACCTAGATGGAAGTTGTTGCCCATTGTAACCAACAATGAATGCATTTTCACATTGGCCTTGGCATGTTAACAGAGAAGTGACTTTTGTTTGTATTATATAACTTCAAACCACTGTTTGAGTGAACAGCAGTTTTTCTTCAGGGCATACAGTAGGTTTAGAGATTAAGCACCATACACATAGTAGATGTTTTATCTCACCATGGTCAGTTAACATTGCTGTTCTGGTAATTGTATGCTGCCTGTATCATATCATACTGAGTGTGTGGAGGTCATCTATACTATACAGAGCAGTATAGATCTGGGTTAGTTACACACCCATGGATGCCTTTACTGTCTTGGTAGATTATTAACCGGTATGTATACCTTGCATAGGGAGCTGCCTGAATAGGCATTAAGGGCCATCTCCATCCCTATAGCTGCTTATTTATCTGCTTTAGTTTGGTTTATTAACAGATCCTCAATTATATTAAAACTAGGTGGGTCTGAATTTTTCTCAGCAAATATGGTCTTTTCTAGAATTATGTAAATGAGATTTCTACTTGAAAAAATCATAACAAAATACTTCTAACTTATATTTAATACAAAATTTGTTTAATTTATTTGTTATTTACAAATTCTTAGTGTATAGTAAGAGACATCTTTAGGTAAGACACCGGAGAGCAGCAGGTAATTTTTCTTTTGTTGTTAAAGGGGTCTCTTATAGCCTAAGATTGATCATTAATTTCTTGTCATGAGAAAAATTATAATAGTGATATATCTTAGCTTCTTTCTCTTTTCTGTCTAGGGTGATTTTTTTCTTCCAGAGATTAGTAAATATAAGGATAATCAATAGTAGAGAAAATATTTTTACCAAAGAAACTACCTCCAGTTTTGTACTTTAAATATTTTAAAACTATAAAATGTACGTATCAAAAAGTACAGTATATATAACATGCACTCACAGTGTAAAGAAAAAGAGTAAAATAAATATTCATACACCTATTATCCAGCTGAAGAAAAATATTACCAGTACCTTTGATGACTCTCATGTACTTTCTAAAATTCTCCCGATCAGAGATAACTACTGTCTTGAATTTCATGTCTTTTCCTTGCCTTTCTTTGTAGTTTTACCACATTTGCACATATTCCTAAACTATAAAAAGTTTAGAATTACCTGTTTTTTAGTTTGCTGTAAATGGAATCTCCTATAACTTGCTTCTTTTGTTCAGTATTATGTTTTTGAAATTCATTCACAATGGTGTATGTAGCTGTAGATGATTTTCACTGCTATATCCTATTCTATTAAACAGATATTTCATAATTTATCCTGGCTACTTCACATTTATACCAGTACTTGGTATTATCAGACTTTAAATTTTCGCTAATTGGTGTGACTTTTGCTCATTGTCATTGTAATTTACTTTCCCCTAAATTCTAATGATGTTGAGCCTGTATTGGTCATCCATTTTTCTTCTGTTGTAAAATGCCTTTTCCTGTTTTTTGCCCTTTACTCTAATGGGTTGTTTGTGATTTCATTACTTATTTATGGGAGTTCTCTATGTATTTTTTATACCAGTTCTTTGTCAGTTGAAATTTGTTGTCTGTGGTTCACTTTTTGAAGTTGTTACAGATCCTAATATTCTGTGTAACATATGAAGATGTGGTCATAATTATCTAGTTCAAACAGGGCTTAGTGAGTATAGAATCAGGGATAATAGCCTTATCTTCCTAACTTGCTCTCTTCATCTGTCTCTGCTGATACCAGGATGGAGCCAAGAAGCAGAAGAGGTCAAAGAGATTGAGTGATAGAGCCACAAAGAAGGGGAAGGTTGCATTGTATTATTGCTTCTTATACAAGCATTTGGGGTTAAATAAACTATTTTTAAATCTTGCTTATACTTCAGAGACATAATAGGGAATAGAATTTTATCTTTTATTTTGCAGGTGGGCAGATGGAAAAGGACCTTTGGCAGCTGCATTCTCTTCCAGTGAAGTAAAAGCTTTAATTCGTGCCTTGTTCCAGAACACAGAAAGAAGAGCAGCTGCCCTTGCCAAGATTAAGTAGCTCTGTATTCCTAAGAAAGCCATGTCTAGACCTTGTGGATTCCTCTCATGGCATAATTACTTCTTTAAAGGCTTCTTGAAATTGCCCATTGGTTTTGGTGAACCATTATATAATGGAAATTCAATTTCATCTTGGAACGCCTTGCCTTGTGGCCTGTATGAGACTTTGTTAAAGAATTCAATGTTAAGATAAGACAGGACAACAAGTTGAAGCACCTCAACTTGATGACTTTCTAGCCACCCTCCCTGATAAGAAACGGTGGGGCTGCATTGTTTCATGTTGCTTCCGTGGCTCTCTGGGGGTTGTATTAAGTGTAAGTGTAGGCCCCTGCCTTCAGTCAGGGAGTCCAGGAGATTTGTGAGCGAAGGGGAAATATATTTTGGGAGGTAGGGGAACCATATTTTACCTTGTAGGAATTAATAAGAATTCCTTTAAAATTTCTTTCCAATAAATAATACTTTGAAGGGTGATTGTCTTTAATAACATGGGAGCTTTGACTAAAGAGACTAATTTTTCTTACATTTGATGCCACTCTTTTATTGACAGGTAGGATCCTCACGAAGGGCTCACTGACGTTTTATCTTCTCCGTAACGCTGTCTGATCATTTCTTCGAATGCCCACGACTCCTAGGACTTTTAGTATAAATTTTTGACACTCTCGCTAATCTGAACTAAATTCTATTTGTAAAATATTTTTTATAATTACAGTTGACATATAGTATTATTAGTTTTAGTTGTACAACACAGTGATTAGACATTTATATACCTTACAAAATGCTCTCCCCCCATAAGTTTAGTACCCATCTGATACCATATATAGTCATTACAATATTATTGACTCTATTCCAGGGGATGTACTTTGGATCCCCTTGAGTAATTTTATGGCTGACACTTTCTTACTTCTTAATCCATTTCCTTTTTTAACCCATCTCCCCAACCCCCTGCCATCTGGCAATCTTTAATAAGTTCTCTGTATCTATGATTTTGTTCTGTTTTCTTTGTTCATTTATTGTGTATTTTAGATTCCACACTTATATGATAGTTGTCTTCTCTGTCTGAATTATGTCATTGGCATAATTCCCTTTAGGGTTGAGATATATATATATCTCACATCTTTATTCTTCTCTGGATAGATACTTAAGGTGGTTCCATGTGTTGGCTATTGTAAATAACGATGCCGTGAACATAGTGGGCATCTATGTCTTTTCAAGTGAATTAGCATTTTGGGCTTTTTTGGATAAATACCCAGAAGAGGAATTTCTGGGTTATGTGGTCATTCTGTTTTTACAGTGTTTGAGGAGTTTTTGTACTGTTTCATAGTGGCTGCACCAATTTACAGTCCTGCCACCAGTGCACAAAGGTTTCCTTTTCTCCTCATCTGGGTCAACATTTATTTGTTGATTTACTGAACATAGCTGTTCTGACAGATATAAAGAAATATCTTATTGTGTCTTTAATGTGTATTTCCCTGATGATAAGGGTGTTGAGCATTTTTTCACATGTCTATTGGACATCTATATGTCCTCTTTGGAGAAATGTCTATTCAGATCTATAGTCCATTTTTTAATTGGATTGTGTATGTTTATTTTTTTGTGTTAAATTGTATGGATTCCTTATGTATTTTGGATTTTAATCTCTTATTGGATGTATCATTGGCAAATATCTTTTCCAGTTCAGTAGGTTATCTTTCATTTTGTTAATGATTTCTTTTGCTACGCAAAAACTTTTTAGTCATTTGTATTTTTTCCTTTTAAAAAAATTTTTATTGATTATGTTATTACAATTGTCCTGATTTTTCCCACTTAGTTCCCTTCTATCCAGTGCCTCCTACTCCGTCAGGCAATCTCCCCACCATTGTTCATGCGCATGGATCATGCATATAAGTTGTTTGGCTACTCTATTTCCTAAACTGTACTTTACACCTCCATGTCTATTCTGTAACTACCTATGTGTACTTCTTAACCTCCTCACCTCTTCACCCACTCTCCCACACGCCTCCCATCCAGCACCTGTCTGGTAACTACCTTCTTTTCTCGCTGCTTTTGAGAGTCTTTCTTTACCTTTAACCTTTGTCCTGGTAATTATGATGTGTCTTAGACTGGGCCTCTTTGCATTCATCATGATTGGAACTACTTCCTGACCTTGCATGTCTATTTCCTTCACCATATGAAAGAAGTTTTCTTTCATTATTTTTTTCAGATGGATTTCCAATTTCTTGGTCTTTCTCCTCTGGTAACCCTGTGATGCCAGTGTTGGACCAGTTGAAATTGTCCCAGAGGCTGTTTATACTATCCTCATTTTTTTTGGATTCTTTTTTTTTCTTGTTCTGCATGGTTGTTTTTTGCTTCCTTATGTTCCAAATCATTGATCTGATTCTTGGCTTCATCCACTCTACTGCTGTTTTCCTATAAATCGTTCTTTATTTCAGTTAGTATATCCTTGGGTCATATGGACATTTTAATGGTGTTAATTCTTCCGTGAGCATGATAATGCCTTTTTATTTATTTGTATATTCTTCATTTTCCTTTTTCAATATCTTAAAGTTTCCCAAGTACAGATCTTTTACCACCTTGGTTAAATTTATTCCGAGGTATTTTATTATTATTATTTTGATGCAGTTGTAAATGGAATTGTTTTATTTTTTGTTTGTGATAATATTACCAGTATATAAAATGCAATCAATTTCTGAATATTAATTTTGTATCCTGCTTCTTTATTGAATTCATTTTTCAGCTCTAATTCTTTTTGGTAGGGTCTTTCAGGTTCTCTGTACGGTATATACTATTTGCAAATTATCAATGGTATTACTTCTTCCTTTCCAATTTGAATGCCTTTTAGTTTCTCTTTCTTGTCTGATTGCTGTGGTTGGGACGTCCAATACTATGTTGAATATAAGTGGTGAAAATGGACATCTTGTTCCTGACTTTAAGCAAAACACTTTTAGCTTATCCCTGTTGAGTATGAAGTTATCTGTGGGTTGGTCATACATGGCCTTTATTATGTTGAATTTTCTCTGTTCCCTTTTTGCTGAAATTTTTATCATAAAGGGATGCTGGGTTTTGTCAGATGCTTTTCTGCAACTATTGATATGATCATACATTTTTGTTCTTCATTTTATTTACGTTTGATTTTCAGATATTGAACTAACCTGGATTCCAGGAATAAATCTCATTTGGTCATGGGGTGTAATCTTTTTAATGTATTGCTGAATTCAGTTTGGTAATAAACTTTTGAGGATTTTTGCCCCTGTTTATCACAGATATTGGCATATAATTTTCATTTTTTGTAATGTGTGTCTGATTTTGGAATTAGGGTAACATTAGCTTCATAAAAGGAGTTTTGGAGTCTTCCCTCCTCCTGAATTTTTGGGAATAGTTTGAGAACGATGGGTGTTTTAATTCTTTTTTGAATATTTGGTAAAATTCACCTGTAAAGCTATCTGGTCCAGGACTTATTTGGGGGAGTTTTTTGATTACTTGCTTTGATTTTGTTAGTAGTAATTGGTCTTTTCAGATTTTCTTCTTGATTCAGTCTTGGAAGAGCGTATGTTTATTGGAGTTTATTTGTTTCTTCCATATTTTCAGTTTGTTACCAGTTTTGTTTATCTTTCAAAGACCAGCTCTTGCTTTCATTAATATTTTGAATTTTTTTAGACTCTTTCATTTATTTTCACTCTGATCTTTATTATTTCCTTCCTTTTGCTCACTTTGAGCTTTGTTCTTTAGCTAATTTTTTTTTGGTGTAGGTTTAGGTTGTTTATTTGAGATTTTTCTTGCTTTTTGAGGTATGGCTGTATTGCTGTGAATTTCCCTCTAGGACTGCTTTTGCTGTGTCATTGGTTTTGGGGTTGTCGTGGTTTCATATTCATTTGTTTCAAGGTATCTTTTGATGTCTTCCTTGATCTGTATATCATTGTTGTTACAGGAGATATTTGATATGATTTCAAAGTTTAGAATTTATTAAGACTTCTTTTTGTTCTAACATGTGGTCTATCATAGAGAATGTCCTATGTACACTTGATAGGAGTGTATATTCTCCTGTTTTGGGATAAAATTCTCTGTATAAAATACTAATGAAAATCTGATGCAGTGTGCCAGTTAAGGCTGCTGTTTCCTTTTTCATATTCTGTCTGGAAGGTCTGTCCTGTGCTGTCAGTGAGTTGTTAAAACCCTCTATTGTGACTGTGTTGCTGTCAGGCTCTCCATTAATGTCCACAAAGATTTTCTAATTGCTCCTGTGTTGGATGCATAAATGTTTACAAGGGTTGCATCTTCTTATTTGATTGCTCCCTTTATCATTATCAAATGTCTTTTTTCCTCTTATTAGAGCCTTTGTTTTAAAGTATTTCATCAGGTATATGTATTGCTACTTCAGTTTTGTCATGTTTCCATTTGCATGCTTTCACCCTTTCACTTTTGGTTTATGTGTTTCTTTTGATCTGGTATGTATCTCCTTTAGACTATGTATGGGTATTTTCAGCTACCCTTTGAATTGAAGCATATATTTCATTTACATTTAAAGGGGTTATTGATAGGTATGTTATTATCACTTTATTACTTATATTTATGTTTTTCCCCCTTTTTTAAAGAAGTCCCTTTAACATTTCTTGTAGTACCGCTTTGATGGTAATGAACTCCCATAGCTTTTTCTTTTCTGAGAAGCTCTTTATCTCTTTGATTCTAAATAACAGCCTTGTTGGGTAGAGTAATCTTGCTGTTTCTCACCTTCAGTATTTTGTGCCAGTTCCTTCTGGCCAGCTGCAGAGTTTCTCTTGAGAAGTCAGCTGACTGTTTTATGGGAACTTCATTGTAGGTAACTAACTGCTTTTGTCTTGCTGCTTTTAAGACCCTCTCTCAGTCGTTAACCTTTGGCATTTTAATTATGACGTGTCATGGTGTGGGACTCTTTGGGTTCATCTTTTGGGGGACTTTCTGTGTGCTTCATAGGCTTATATGTCTATTTCTTTTTCCAGGCTAGGGAAGTTTACCATCTTTATTTCCTCAAATAGGTTTTCAATCCCTTTCTTATTCTGCACATGTTCATATGTTTGTGTGGTTCCCAACCCAGAGGTTGCTTAAACTAGCCTCATTTTCAAAATTTCTTTGTCCTTTTTGCTTTTTTGATTGGGGTTTTTTTTGCTACTTTGTCTTCCAAATCTCTGATTCAATCCTCTGCTTTACCTAATATGTTGATTCTGTCTAATGTATACTTAATTTCAATTACTATGTTCATTTCTGACTGGTACTTTTTTATGCTTTCTATCTTCATTTTTATGTTTCCCATGTCTTTGTTAAGGTTTTCACCGAGTTCATCTATTCTGAATTTATTCAACACCTTTATAACCAGTGTTTTGAATCTCGTATCTGGTAGATTACTTGTCTCCATTTCATCTAGCTCTGAAGTTTTTGTCCTGTTCTTTCATTTGGTGACATGTTTTTTTTTGTTCCCTCATTTTGGCTGACTCCTTGTGTTTGTTTCTATGTATAGGTAGATCTGCTACATCTGCTGGGCTTGGTGTACTTGCCTTACTTAGTTGGGGTCCTCTGTGGGGCCCAGTGGCTTTGTTTCCCTTGTCACCTGAGTGGGGTACTCCAGAATTGCCCCTGTGTAGGCTGCATGTATCCTTCTGTTGTATTGAGCCTTGATTGCTGTTGACATATCAGTGGGAGGAATTGACCCTCAGGCTGACTGGCTCTGAGGGATATGGTGTCTATAACAGACAAGTTGTGCAGGGGTAGACCCTTGGGGGGTGAGGACTTCCTTCAGCTGGGCTCTGGTGCTTGCTGAGTTTGCCATTTGCATGTTTCATTTCTGGGGGTGTTTGGGTGGTGTTCTTGTGTAGTCTTAAGCTGGCTACAGGGTGTGTTGATTCTGGGGCCTCTTGGGATCAGCCATAGTGCAGGCCAGGTAAGCTGCTGCCTGTACCTGGCCGAGAGCCACCTGGTAGGAGCTACTATGTGGTCTGCACATGGTTGCCACCTCTTTTGGGCTTGGAGGTGCCTGGGAGAGGCTAAGGTGAAATCTTAGGCCAGGTGCCACTATTGCTGAGCTTGTGGCCACCTAGCCAGAGTTACAGAGCCTGTTGAGGTCACACACTGCTTGTCTGGGGTTTGTGCACCTTTGAAAGATTTTAGGAAATTCTGCATCATGACCAGAGGCAGGCCATTTGTGTGGAAACTTTGCTGGAGTAAATTTGGGTCAGGTGCTCGACTTGGGTGATGAAGGGGGTCTCAGGGAATCACCAGAGTAGAATGAATGGTATTAACCAGGTTGATGGAGACTCAGATTAAAAAAAAAAAGATTCTATTTATTTATTTTTAGAGAGTGGGAAAGGGAGGGAGGGAGAGTGGGAAACCTTGATGTGTGAGAGAAACATCTATCAGTTGCCTCTGGTACATCCTCAACAGGGGACCTGGCTGCAACCCAGGCATGTGCCCTGACTTAAAATTGAACCGGCGACTTTTTTTTGGTTTGCAGGCTGGCGCTCAATCCACTGAGCCACACCAGCCAGGCTGAGACTCAGGTTTGGTGCCTACCTGCTCCTGCCAGTTGGTTCGGGGGAGGCGCTCAACAAAGGCATAGAGGCATCTGCCAGCACTTCTGTTCCTGGAGTGAGCTGCTCTGACCCCTGCCCCTGCAGCCCTTGCCCTAAAGCTAGTCAATTCAGTCCTCCTCTTCCTTGCCCCCATGAACTGTTCCCTGACACTGTTCATGCTGCTGCCCCAGTGCCAGAACTCAGAACAAGTGCATCCATGAGCAGATGAGTCTGTGTCCATGTCCTCTAAGGGAAACACCTGGGACTCCAGAAGCTGGTTCTCATAGCCAGAAGTTATGGGGACTTCTTGTCATTGGAGTCCTGGGCTAGGGAGCCCAGTGTGGGGCTTTTCTGTAGGGGGAAATCCACAGCTGACATCTTTCTCCTCTTTCTTAACTGCTACATTGTGGGTTTTTTGTTTTTGGCTTTCTCTAGCTCTACTGTTTCTGTACTTTATGTAGTGGCAAAGGTCTTAAATTGCCAATGTTCCTCTGACACACATGTGCCATCAGACACTGAGTATGGACTCCATAGCCTAATTCTTGGTGGACATAGGTAATCCATCAGCTCAACTTACGGTGTTAAAACTCTTTGCAGCCACTGGAGGTATATATTATTGTTGTGGACTGCTCTGCCTGGTTTCAGGAATTGTAATTCTACCCTCTGTGGCTAAGGATGAGCAACTGACCTCTGGAATGCGAGTTGCAGGAGACAAGGCTTGTCTCTGGTAGCAAATGCTGCCTCAGTTTCCTCCCTGCCCCCAAAGCTTGGTCGGAAGTCCTTGACAGGTAAGTGTCCTCACAGAGGAGGGGCAACCTAGGCCAGACACGATCAGTTGGGAGGCCATATCATGGAAGGACTCGGGGACTACAACAAATAGCAGTGGACTCTTCCCCCGCGCCCCCCCCATCCCCGGCTTTGACAAAGCCCAAGTTCCCATGTCCTCTGGGAGAAGCGCTTCCTGGCTCTAATCCCCTTAAGCCTGAATACCTGATGGGGAGGGGTGCATCTCCTTGCCTTGGTAGA